GTGTGATCATTGGAATTGTTAAGATCTCAGACAAGTTCTAACTTGATGCATTTTTGATGAACGGTTTTCGAGTTATTGTCCTTGACTTTTTAAAAACGCGTCAAAATTTGTTCGTGAGCAAAATAGAAGTTACAGTTTTCAACTGATTCTGATGAAACTTGGTGTGATCATTGGAATTGATAAGATCTCGGACAAGTTCTAACTTGACGCATTTTTGATGAAATTTTTTTGAGTTATTGCCATTAACTTGCGAAAAACGCATCAAAATTTGTTTGTGAGCACAGATCTCGGACAAGTTCTAACAAGAGATATTTTTGATGAACGTTTTTGGAGTTATTTCCCTTGACTTTGTAAACACGCGTCAAAAGTTGTTTTTTGCCCTTGATTGGAGCTGTGTGATTTAATTGTTTGTTGTATTTGGGTTATTGATATTGATTTTAAAAAATTTTGTGGAATTATTCAGCATAAATAATTTCTTCAATATGAGAAAATTCGTACTTTAGTCACTAAAGACTGTTTTATTATTTCTTACAGCTGCCAGTGGGCGTATGTTAGCTTGCAACGCAAGTTATCTTTTATATAGAAAAATCAAGTTGGTGCACACTACCACTTAAAACTTGAATCATGTCATTACTTCTCTTATATAGGAAAAGGTCGAAGTTTAAAATTACCACAACTTATAGACATAGCAGCCCAGATAGCATGTGGTATGGCATATTTAGAATCGCAGAATTATATTCATCGTGATTTAGCTGCAAGAAATATTCTAGTAGGAGATTCTAATCATGTGAAGATTGCTGATTTTGGATTAGCTCGTGTTATAAAGGTAGAGGTATTGGTGTTATCGCTTCATTCTATCATTTTATTTTCCTATGTTGCTTATCACTTGCTACTGTCTAAGTCACCGCTTTTATTAGTCTTTTAATTTGCAATGTTTATGTTTTGAAAGCTTATTTTGTCAATAGTGTTCTGTTCTTCAATGTGTGCTATATTGTCACATCATTCTCTTTATTTCAACATTTCAACTCTTGCAAATCTCTTTCCAGTTCTTTCCTCAGAATGCAATTCTAAGATATCCTTTTTTGGGTGTTCACATTCACAGAGAACAGAGAAAAATGTTTTATTGATGAGCATGTAAATATCTTGAAATACAAGAAACCATAAGTGCAAAATGCTAATTAATAGCCTACTGGTCTTCCACAACTGGAGGTAACAAATAGGACATAAGTTTACTAATAGATTTATAAGTTAGATTTTTACTTTAACTTAACTTTAACTTTGACCTAGTAATTTGAATTTAATTGTAATTCTGTAACTAACTGTGATATATATATATAATAGGAGGATGAATATGAAGCTCGTGTTGGTGCTAGATTCCCTATTAAATGGACAGCACCTGAAGCTGCAAACTATAACAGATTTACAATTAAATCAGATGTTTGGTCCTTTGGTATATTATTGACTGAAATTGTTACTTATGGTCGTGTACCTTATCCTGGTAAGTACTTATTTCTGTGAAAGAAGTATATGGTGGACATTTAAGGTCTAACCCCATTCTAACCTGCATGAATTCTCTAGAATGGAGGGCAACATATTTTAAGATACATTAGTTATTTCTCTTTAGAAAAGATACAACAATCAATATCAGTTGGTTTTTGAAATTGATTGGAAAGGTGTCTTTTTTTCAAGCACTTTAAAACAAATATAAATATATTTATTTAGTTGTGCATGATAAAAACCAAGAATTTTCTCATATATATATGTATCTCAGGAAATATTACTTGAGTGTAATTTTTTTTCTAGGTATGACAAATGCTGAAGTGTTACATCAAGTAGAACATGGTTATCGTATGCCAGCTCCTCCAACATGTCCTAAAACATTATATGAGATTATGTTAGAATGCTGGCGGAAGGATGAGATGGATAGACCCACATTTGAAACATTACAATGGAAACTGGAAGAATTCTTTACCATGGACCCAACAGAATATAAAGAAGCATCGGTCGTGCGATAATTTATTTGAGTAATAATAAATGGACCAATAGTTACTTCACATTTTAATTTTCACGCTCAAAACATCATACAAAGTAACATTATGTTACAGTGTCGTGAAATCTTTAATTGAGCTTAAAAAGCTTGTTTTTACAGTGCCGTTTCTACATGCATAGTGAAATAGTCATAAGTCTATATTGTGAATGGCAGTTGTGATTTTTTACCATTTTTACTTTGTGAAATGGACTGTACTTTTACGGAATGTTTTTTTACTCTATTAACAATTGCATCTTGTATGTGAACATTTGTTGCTTTGTGTCAAAATATTACTGCTTCAACCCTTATAAATATTTTGTCCAAATATGTCTGAGTAATAGTAAAAAGTTTTTGTGAAGGAAGTCAGTTTGTGTTCAGGTATTTAAAAATACCACTGTAATGGAGAAACGATAATAACAGAAAAGAAACAAGAGATGATATAGTTGAGTTGTATGACTATCATATTTATCATTGGATCATTTGTGTAAATAGTTATCAATGTAGTAGAATGATTGAAATAGTTTTCACATTGTAGTTTGTCATCGTTGTACCATAGTTAAATTGATATCCATAATGTCTAAAATTATAATTAATTTAATTAATGTCAAATATTTGATTATCAATAAGAAAATGTTTTAATTTGGCAGCATTTTGTATTTAAAATCAATCATTCATCAAGCTCCTCAGCTAATTGTGAAATTAAATCATTTTCTCCACCTTTACTATAGACTTCTCATCATATGAGACAATGATCCTTTTTAAGCCTTTTCTATGTACATGTACTATAAACAGGTTACTTTATATTGTCTTTATTTCGCTGAATGATACATACTAGTAAATTTTTAACATTTGGTATTCATCTGTACAGAGTTTAGTACTTATTCTTTGTAATTTTGAATAATATTTAAGAATTGCTGTTTTAAGAGACAAATTGTGGAACCATTATATAAAAATCTATTATTTTAAGTAAAAAGAGATTATTTATTTTAATCAAATACTTGTACTGGTGCTAAAAAAGCATTTTAAAAAATTTGCATAGTAATTTTTAGCTGATGTTAAATGCTTAGTTTATAGAAACAGCCTGAAGGATCAAAAGTCTTTTGTCATTGCCAGTTTTTATTTATTCCCCACTGACTCAATTCATCATCATATTGCAATTTATAAAACCAAGATAATGGCACATTTTGAATAACTTAAATCTAAATGCTTATGCAATAGATATATCATTTGTGCTTCAAACTTCTCAGAAAGTTGTTACATTGTACAGTTTGGATATTAAGTGTTTGTGAAGTGGGTTGATATAAATGGATTTTTGTGCTGATGTTTTACTGGTCACAGTTTCGCTATCATTGTCAATATCATTGGTGTGAATAATAGTTATACTGTATGTGAAACTTCTTATTCTAATGTCAGTCATTGTAAAAGTGACTTCTATATAGGATATCTCTCTTGAATTAGATAACCTTTACTGTTATTTATTACACTGAAACATATAGGTTGATAATATCAAATTTACTCAACCTTCTATTTGTTTTCTGTCTTTATGCAAGGATTATTTCAATACTTGTTATATGTAAGGCAATGCTTACCCTCACTCACTTCAAATTCTGATGCCTTTGCCAGTGCTTCTGAAAAGTCAGTCTAGTGTCATCTTTCACCCCCAATATATCCTCCCTTTATGGCATTGCTTTGTTGATTAAAAAATTTTCCTGTCAACTGCCTATTTCTTCATTGAAATACAGTTTTTAACCAATAGCCCTATTTGTCAATATTTCCCTTATCTCTTCCAATATTATTATCATAATTGTGGAGAACTGTGCAATTTAGTCGTAAAAACAGGCTATTCATTGTGTTGTTTTTGTCATTGTTGTTTTTCTTCTGAACAAATGTTCATTTTTTTCTTAATATTGATTAAAATAATAAAATAAATGTGTCTTTCTTTTATTTAGATGGAAGATATATGCCTAAAGGCTAAAAGAGTGCAATTTGGATAAAATGTATGTTTGTATTATTGATAAACATTGTTTAATATATTGCCAATAGCAAATGATATCTGCATGGGATAATCTTAACAAGGGCTTCAAAGTAACCTGACCTTATTTTCATTTTGAAAGGCGACACATTTTGCTGAAACTGCATTCTTTTATGAACTTTAATGTAAAAATTGCATTGTTAATGTTTGCCTTGAGCTTTCAAATTAGCCTTTGTGTCTAGCCTACCCTATTTAGGCCTACCTTAATTCATCCAATTTTAGTTGTGGAGAAATTGATTTCATTTCACAAGCAGATCTACAGATACACTAAAAAATATATATTTTTTTTATATATATACGTATTTTGTGTGTCCAACGTGACATATTAACACGGACAAATTGACTAATGACGTCACCGGAAGTAGGGGAATCCGAAGGGATTACCGTAGAAAAAAAAACCTGAGCGATTTGTGGTTTTTCTGAGTTTTCCTTAAAAGGTTCGCTCATATTTGAACTGTCATCATGAAAGCAGAGGTAATGGAAAAATTAAACGTATTCTGTGATCTGAAATTTGCTGTGAATATTCAGGACATACATGTATATGATTAAAGCAGGCCTACCTCTCTCTGCCAAGTGTAACATCGATAGCTCTATAGGCCTATGGCGACACTACCTGTTAGTTTCCTGCAAGATAAAGACTATTACAATTACATTGGTTGGCTCCTTATTTTTCTGATAATGCTGCTGTAAATTGAAATAAATATTATATTCATTCATAGACATATAACATAATAGGACAGGTACAATATACAATATTGTAAGATGATATGGACCTACAGCCTATCTTCATTGAGATTTCAATAAATCTATCAATTTCTTTTTAGTAAGGTTGTTTTCACACTTGCTGACAGAAGGCAGTCACAGTTCTCGATGTTAATAGGCTATGACAAAATTATTTCATACTAAACTTTGTATGGAATATCAATGATTTTGTAGGCTGAGGAACTAAAGAAGAAAGGTAATGAATGTATGAAAGCTGGAAATCATACTGAAGCTGTCTTTCATTACACACATGCTATCAAAATAGAATCAAAAAATGCTATTTTATACAGCAACAGATCTGCAGCATTCCTTAAAATTGAACAATTTTATTTAGCAATACAAGATGCTAGGAAATCTATACAGTTAGATCCAAACTGGACAAAGGTACAGTACGTTTGGTTTTTATAAATTAGTGCCTAAAAAATATGTGTAGAACTTAATCAATTTCTTTTATAATTGATATAATTTAGTGCGATTTCAAATGAAGGGACATCTTGCCCTTAACTTAATACAAACTATTTCTACTTTCACTCTACATTTAATACAGTTGAGATTGTATATTTTTAGGGCTATTTTCGAAAAGGTGAAGTTGAGTTTCAAGTTAAGAATTATTCAGAAGCATTAAAATCTTATAATGTAAGTATTTTTTGCAGAGTTGAGATCGAAAGCCAGGCTGGGAATACAAAGCAATTTTTTTTTTATTGAGAGCTCTATTCAGACAGAAGATGAAGATAAAATGGTTCCTATGAATTGGCAACCAGAGTTTCCATTGCCTCAACTTAGGATCGAAGTCAAGAGTAAAATTAATGCTCTGTCATGGGAAAATTGTCCTCATTGCACTTTACATAGCATTGATGTCGTCTTCAACTGAAGAAAGTTTAGAAGAGTAGATATAAAAGTCCATTCCATTGCAGTGTGTCTTTTTTATGAACAGTGGAATACCTTATATTATAAATGTTCTAACATAAGATTATTTTATAATATTCAGCATGCATATGTATTAGATTGTAATGATGAAGGAATCAGTGCTGCTATATCTAAAACAACTAAAGAAATCAATAGAATAAAGAAAGGTACTTTGAATTTGCATATATTTAAACACTGTACACTTCAAATGTTGTTTAAAGGATTGGCCTGTATAAATATAATAGAATGAATAAACAGTAAAATCATAAGAGCTGAGTTTCATCTATCAGTTCTTGTAAAGAGTTGGTCAGATATTCAACAAATTTTGTACAAGTGCAACTTGTAGGGGAAACAAGACTTTTATGTATAATTCAAAACTTTGTAAAACACAATTAATTTCCATGTTGGCATTTTCATAGTTACAAAATTTTAAATAAATTTCAATCTTTTTAATAGTGACTAAACAAGAACCAATATTATTTAGTTGTATTGGTGGTGGTGTAGGATTTCTTATTGTGTTAGCTGACCAATATATAGCTGTTAAACCTTCAATACCAGTAAGTTTATTGTTGTTTCTTTTGAAAATAAAAAGGTTATATTTTTTTTTTATAAAAATCTTCTACTAGAACTTTTTATTTTTGCAGGCTACTAGAGCGATACTTATCAAATTTGTGAAAGGCTTGTCTTTATCACTATGAACACATTGGCTTATTTAGTTATAATATGTCAAAATATTTCTCTAATAAGTGGTGGCATATTTAGTAATAGTCACTGAAATAAACATTCTATAATATTTCAGCACTGGATATTTCAAGTTATATTAATAGTAGTATTAGCAGGTATAGGTTATTTAATTTACAGATTTTATAAGTGAGTATAATTCAACTAATTTGAAAAAGTTTGACCGGAGATAGCCAGTTTTCATCCGATCTTTATTAAACTTGTTGTACATTTTGAGTTCTCATTTAAATTCAATTAAATTAAGAATTGTTTTAAACTAGGGTTTGAATGTTAATGATAAATTCGGTTCAAGGGTTTCAGGTAACAAATTTTGTTCATTAATGATGAGTTTTGTTCAGGGGTATTAAAGAGTTTCTAGAAAGTTAAACAAAGGTGATATTTAAAGCAGGGGGTGAGGTGAAATCAGAATAGGGTGTAGACCTCTATACACCTGTATTATTTTGGGGTGAGCTGTAATCAGTATAGGGAGGAGACCTCTGTACACCTGTATTGTTTGGGGGTGAGATGTAACCTACAGCTGTAGTACATGTTCATTGTGACTGCAGACATCCCAGAGTTCACCTTGTTGTCATGTCAGCAAAATAACAGAAAAAATGTACATGGATGCAGAATTTAACATTTGTTCATTCAATTTCTTTTAGGTAAGTTTTTCTTTTTTTTTTATTCATTTTTAGTGTTCAATTTTATAACTTCCTCTTGCCTCATTTGCTTTATCTATTTTTATATGACTTCAAATTCCCAATCTGAATAGTTTCAATTGTGAATATCTAACTTTCAATTTGAAAGCTGAACTTTGGTGTTTTATTGAATTTGTTATACATTGTCTTTATTTATTTTAGTTTATGATTGTTTATAAGAGTGATATCTTAGCATATTAAAAGTTAATTTCTACCAAGAATCCAGACTAGGAAAGAAAAGTCACAGAATGAAGTTTCATTTATAAGGTAAAGACCATATGATATTGAAAGCATAGTAATATGTTCTTTGAATTTTGTTTTCAGACTCTTTCAAAATGCAAAGTTCTGTTCTTGAAGGAAAATATGTAACCACAGGTGGCCTCAAGCATGTTTCTATTGCTATGTTTATTACAATGTACATGTATTAAACTTTATTAATAATAAATGAAAGTCTGTGAATACTTTAACAACACTATTGATATCAGAATGCTTAGATGTCTAATACTTAAATCCTTTCCTACCAATTCTCCCATGTCTCATGTGGCTTTGGTTTTTTATTATTTTATTATTTTTATTTTATATCAAAAAAGATATCTATTCTATAAAGAAAGATATCAGTTGAAAGTGTTCAGAAAACTTTGTAATTTAGTGAGTGAATTAAAATTGATCAACATTTGTCATAACAATACATGATGAAAATATTAGGAAGGATAAGAATATAAATTAGGTTGTTACTGATTGTGAAAACAATAATTACTCTCATAATAAGACATTAATATTGATAATCTTTCTTTATATTACATAATTTATAATTAGGTTCATCTGATTTCTTCAGTTAAATTGTTTATTTGACAATAATATGAATATTATCAATATCTTTACTGCTTTCCACTACTGTTCAATGAGTTCTACAGACTATGAACTGCAGTGGGAAGAAATAAGCAGCTGGAAGATTCTGTCCCAGAAATATGTTTACCTTTATTCATTGTCAGGAATCGTCTCTCTTTAGCCGCAAATATACTTATACAGTGGAGCTGCGTTTATCCGGTTGCCGATAATCCGGAAACCCCGATATCCGCACGCTTTTTACTGGGAACGGAATATTTTCTATGTAAAATTACCCGTTAATCCGGTGCTCCGGTTTGTATATCTTAGCTGGAAGACTCCATGCTATGCCTGTTTTATTGAACACTTTATTAAATTTTCTGTTTATGTGTTTCCTGAATAATTGTCATTTTAGAGGGTTTGATTAATTCAATACTTTAAGAACATGAAATGTTGAGATATATAAGAAGGATTCCAAATTGATAAAGGTCATCACACATCAAATACAGTGGGTATTGATGGTATATATTTAGAATATATACAGTCAAGTAACCTTATTTCGTGGAAACCTATTATTCGTGGACTTCCGGAAACGATTAATAATTTACATGAGCGACCTTGCGCGACCTCCGCATTAGTTTGTTTTGATAAACATGGGTTTTCTCTACAATATCAGCTAGTAGAATGAATCCAGTAGTTTCAAGCAATGTAAAATGTTTTAATGTATACTTTGACAAATACAAAATGGCGGATTTCACTTATTACCAAACGTCACCATTTTTTATCGGCCGAATTTCCTTATAATCCCAAACGGTAATCGGAATTCCAAGTGTCGTCTGCTAGAATGTAGTCCAACGAATGAAGTCACGTGATCAACTAGCGGATTCCGTGTCAGCAGAAAATTTCTATGGAACACAAAGAGGACCATATTCTTATGTTGTTTCAGTGACTTTTAGCAATAAATCACGCTGCGTATCTTATTTTGTCAGTCACTATTTTTTTTTTAAATCGTGGTTCTTTGAAGGAATTGTCACTAGTTATAATGAATTGATATTAAAGATAAATACTAATGCAGCGGACACACTAGGCGAATTTAATTCGCTGGTACTTCGCCCGACAATTCGCCACCGAATCCATTCGGCCGACGAAGTGGACACACTGGGCGAATGTTTGTGTCGATAATTTGCCAGCGAATTAAATTACGCATGCGTAGGGGAGACTTAGTCACATGATCACAAAATGGCGGTGTCCAGAAAGAAGCGGAAAGTGGCAATTGTCAGTTAAGGCATTTTGCCGGGCTAATTTGAATTGAATTGGTAGGCATGCAAACTTAACTGATGTGTCCAGTGCATCAGCGATGAACTGTTTCGCCGCCTCCTTCTGCACCCTGTCCCTATATTTGGGTTTGCTAATATCGTATAAGTTGGGCTTAGACTCCCATAATATGATTAATTCCTCTTCTTTTTCCTGACTCCACATTGCATCGTTGGAGGTCGCCATTTTGTTTGTCATGTGACGCTTCGGCGTCTGTGATTGGTTGAGTTATAGGAATATTCGCCTTAAACTTCGGCCGAGTGGACACACTTGCCGAATGAGTCGGCGGCGATTAATATTCGGCCGAATATTATCAAACATGCTTGATGTCGGCGAATGGCTTCGGCCGACGCTCGGGCGAACGTCGTAGCACTGGACACACTAGGAGACTCAAGGCGAATTTTACTGCCGATTGATTCGCCCGAACCATTCGCCGTGAAAATTCGCCTTGTTGTGTGTCCGCTGCATAAGAAAAGTTAATTATACCACCCGGTATCCATATAACGTGTTTTTCTAGACTTTTCTATAGATCAAACATTGTACACGAAAATAGGTGACGCATTCTGTCGCCGTTGCCGAGTTGGATGCTCATGAAATATGGGTCAAAGTGAACGATTCATAAAGAAAATCAAAATAAACCAATTTTAATTATCTTGTAGAATATCTGAGGAAACATCTAAAACATATAAAATTTTTTTTGTTTTTTTTTAACTTTGACGAAATTCGGTGTTGAATCCTTATATCAACGAAAATAGGTTACACCACTGTATGTTTCTTTTATAATTGTAGATAGATACCATGCAGAAGAAAGTTTGAGCTGAAATTGATGGTGTAGCCTACAATTTGGAAATCTAAACATAAAATAAAGCATCTAATTAGTTTCTTGTATGAATATGTTGAATATTGTTATTGTGTATATTTTAGAATTAAAAAGATATGAGATGTGTTGTTTTATTCAACAATCGAAATTTCTGTTGTCTTTATAAAGGAATTTCAGATCTCAGTAGGGAAGCTTATTGAAATTATTGCTTTATTTGCCTAAAATCAATTAAAATCAAATTACAAATTGTCATTGTGCCTTGGGTATTGGCTTGTCCAAATTAATCTTAAAAATAGTTGGCATTAAGGACAACTTTGGGATCAACAAATTGGCTAGATTTTCACAATGAATAATCACTCGCAACAAAATCTCATGATTCTTCATATGTAAATTTCCAATGAGAGGTAAGATAATGGCAATGACCTACAAGTAAATTGTTTCAGTAGGGTATAAAAGTTCTTTAAAAACTCTGTTCATCAAACAGTTTTAAAGATAGCTTGCCAGACAAGGCTTTGATTTTGAATAAAAATGTTAAGCAGTATAATAAAATATTCAACATTTTGTCATACACTTCTATTAAACTTTACTGAACAATATTATAAAATTTTGTCAAAATCCGGCAAGAATCAAGGTTTTAAGTAGTTAAGAGTAAAATATTTTTTAATACATTTTTAAGAAATTTTTTACTACGTCAAAGAATAGTCTGGGTTTATGTCACTGAAAGAACCCAGTATGCTGAATTGACCATTGGTACATAGACAATCTGTTTCTTATAGACCCGTAGACTGATCTGAAGTTCATATTAAACCATTGAGATTTAAGCACAAATTATTACTGATCTTCAATATCACCCGACAAACATTTTCATGAAACTTGTAGAGTGTATTTTATAACTTAAAGATAAAACTGATTTATCACCAGAAAATATGTAAAAAAAAAATTGGACCATATTCAAATAAAGCTGTTGTGTTAGTTCTTGACTGGGCCCCAAACTTCATTTTGTACACCCATATTTGGCATCGATCAAATCTATTGCTTGTAAACACTCTAGAAGTTATAATTGTAGACAGATATTGACGAAACTTGGTGAAATTGTTTATCGTCCAAAACTAAACCCTATCAAGAAGGGAAAATATCACATAGTATTCACGCACCATATTTAATGAGTTATTGCCCTTGTTCTTTGAAATATGTGGCAATTCTAAATAGATGTTGATGAACATGGTAAAACGTGTTTATTATTTGAGGATAAACCCTTTAAAAAATATTTTTTTTAGAATATACAATATTGTTTTCTAGATGTAATTTAGACGTGGGTGTATGTTACCTTGCCTGACAAGCTATTAATCATATTATAAAAGATAAAGCAATCTGATTTCAGATATAATAAAATCAAGTAAATGAGATTAATTTAATTAATTCAATATATCAACATGCTGCCTGGTATAATATACCAGTATTTGTATCAATTTCAGGTACATGTTAGATATGCAACAAAATGCATTATTAGAACCTCCACCAGATATTTTATCAGGTAAATAAAATAGTCCAAAACTGTATCTAGATAACTACTAAGAAAATATGAGGATCTGGAAATCCTACTGTCAATTTTTTGTGTGGAGATTTTGATTGAAATAGTCTGGCAAATATGAGCCAAATGATAGCTACAATTAAAATAAAACATTTAAATTAACCATCACAAAAGAGTATATTTATCCATGACTATGAACCTTAGAGTTAGCAATAATTAAATGCCTTTTGAAGAACAATGAATATTTTTCTGCATATTTATATTGTTGATTATGCCCATTTTATAGATCTAGCAGGAACTGGTGGAAGTGAAGAAGAAGATAATTCTAGTGAAATTCCTAAACGACAATCAAATGGACCCAAAGGTGGCCGTCAAAGATATAAGAAAGGGAAATCCTGATTTTATTTTTCTCTATTGAATTAGCTCTAAAAGGATTGTGATATAACACCTTTATTTCTTATCAACCAGATTTTTATTCAATTTATATTCATGTTGCTTTGATTGATTGCCATTGCAGTATGATTAAATTTGATTTGTAAAATAACAAACATATTAAAGTGATACTACGTCTTAGAATGATCATAATATTTGATTCTCAAGAATGATCAATATGAGTATATATTCATCAGTGAACTTACCTGGTGTCATAAAGTTACAACAGAATCCCTGTAAAATCATATTAAGCGTTTTTCAATAGTTAATTGCACTTTTATTAAGTTTTTTGGATTTATCGGATTATATAAGAATCCTGTTATTTATGACACCAGGTATATCTACTGATGAATGTATGCTCTTATTGGCCAAGTTTAAAATGTTTAAATTTTACGTTTTTTTCTAAGACGTAGTATCCCTTTAAGAATTGACTTTGAACCTACTTCAAACTTTCGGTTGACAAAAATTGTAACTCCAGAGCTGTATTTTAATTCGTGGTGCTCATAATTATAATGTACATACTTATATTATCAATATTAACAGTAGTAATTATAACAATATTCTCATGATGTAAACACTGTTTTACCAATGATAATTCATTTTGTTTATGATTGTGAATATTTTTATAATAAATATATTTTCTATATAATTATGTTTTATCTTCAAGACTACATTCTTCCAACTTATGACTGTATTTACATTCTTCACCTAATTCACATTGACCAGCTTTAAATCTTTTACAACTATATTGTTTAGTATCTACTGTATTCTGAAATAGAAGCAAATAATAAATTAAGGTGATGAACTGTCGGCAACCAATTACACTTTAGACTTTTTGCTCCTGTTTATTGAATGAATTTACACGATAGCTTGTTGAAGCTTTTAAAATTTATCTTATAATTTAAGAAAACTTTACCTGCTTATGTTTTCTTTTCCCTTGAAACTTTTTCTGTTTATCTTCATTATTTAATGATGGTCTTGGTTTAGGTCCCCAGTTTGATTCAGGATTAGGTTGAAATCTGACCAAACCTTTATTACGGGAAGCTGGAATAGCCTGAGGGTGGGGTGTGAATGAGATGTTATTTTGAATTTCTTTGTCTAATATTATACTAGCTATTGATCCTGTAGCTCGACGATTATCTTTAATAGGATTCTGTTTTACCCATGTCCTCATTATATCCTGAAATACAAAATATATCCATGAGATAATGTATAACACAAATATTACAAGTTTCAGAAATCAAGATGATGACTGAGTATCTTAGCCCAATTTCCCTTATGAAGTATTTTCTGCATCTTGCAGTTACTCCATCTCAAATTTGTTAATGAAGGAATATAAGCTAATAATTTATCTTCTGATTTATAATTTATATATTTAACAATATTGAAAACTTGGTGATAGACTATGTTATGAATTCCGTACCCAAATAAATTTAGATGGAGCATCAGTTTTCTTTGAATTTCTGGCGGCATGTGATAAGGATACTTTATGGCCTGCATTCAATATAGCTGAATTAAACTTTTCTAAAGATAGGGGACTGCAATGTACAGTTGAACATAGATCATCTAATACATAGTAAAATGGTATATCTTGTAATTCTTCTTTAGCCACTGTTAATAAACCACTGATTCGTTTTGATGTATTAAGATATTGGAGATTAGTAGAAACACTAGTAAGAACTCTGTCTATAAAGTCTATAGAATGAATGGGATCGGACCACACTGGTCCACCAATAACATGACGACTGTTACAATGGTCACAACTAGAACCAACTGGTGGACCATGAGCTGGTAAAAATTTAAAATTATTGCCTTCAGTTGGTTCTTTTATACCTAATTTTTGTAGCGTAACCGTTCCACATCCTACACAATGGTAAAACATGGATTTTTTAGTCACTGACTCTTTGACCTTCTTAGCACCAGTATGAATCTTGACGAAGACTCGAACATAAAAGTCCACACTAAGAGATATAACCGGTTCAATATAACGTGAATAACGATTAGCATGAGTTTCAATACACTGTAATAATATACGTAAGGCCTCTTCATGACAACATTTCATTCTGACAGACATAGCACCATATGTTGCAGCACACTTTTCTCCTGCATTACCACAAAGAACAGCCATATCTGTTGCTGTTACACATAACAATCCTCCATCCCTCACAGCTTGGACAGCAGCATCTAAAAATTGTGCTGGGCTTCCATAGGGATCCAGATCAACTACGTCAAAACTTTTTTCTGTCTTATTTTGATACAACAACATAGAAGCATCCCCTAAATTTGACATTACTAAATGTTGTAATTTGTTATGTTCGATATTTTTATCAATAATATCTACTGCCCATTTACTGACATCATTAGTTACAATCTCTTTTACACCAGCGATTTCTAGTCCAAATCTCATTGATCTTAAACCACTAGCAGATAATCCTTCCAATATTTTAATTCCATTATCACATTTTACTCCTACCTTTAGCTCTACGTTTGCTTGATCAACATCATTTTCAACCTTTTTGCAATTTTTGTTTTGAATAGTTTCTTTAGCAAACTCATTAATTACTGCTATGGTAATATCTCTATTGAATTCTTGAACAGGATTATAAAACACATTTTTAGGTTGAAATGCTTCTGCTTTCCCTTCTTTAATGAAATTCAGATTGTTTTCCGATGCTTTCTCCACAACTGTTGCCATTGTTTTGATTGCAGAGGGTAATAATCTGGTACAAACTTGTGCAAGCCTACTTTGTATAATATGACTCATTAACTTTTTCAAGCCACAAAACTGTAGACCTATATTGATCTCCACTGGAGTAGATAACCTGGGAAAAAAAAAGATAAAACTGTAAATTTTATAAATACGGTTGTCTTTTTTAAAGAATACTGCATCTGAGAATGAACATAAAATTAAAATATTTTAAACTTAGCCAATAAGAACATATATTCATCAGTAGATATACCTGGTGTCATAAATAACATAACAGGATCCTTATATAATCCGATAAATCCAAAAAACTTAGTAATTATCCAGAAATATGCAATTAACTATAGAAAAATGCTCAATAATAAGATTTAGCGTATTTCAATAATTACTTAGTTTTGTGAATTTTCCAATTTTTCCAAGAATTCTGTTGTATAAGTTCACTGATGAATATATACTCATATTGACCATTCTTGAGAATTTAAATTTTATGATCATTCTAAGATGTAGTAGAATTTCACAAATCATGTATACGTACCATTACTGTTAGTTCAAAAACTGTGAATGTACTAATATGTCATCAATTTACAAATTATGTAGGTTGCTTTCATTAAGATTTGTATAAAACTGTAGTCTCTATATTGTTTTCAAAAAGTTATTTTGCAAAGAAACAATTGTGTTGCTTTATGATCTCCTAGTCCTATTATTTCTATACTATGTATGTGCTGCATCCAGACCTTTGTATCAAGTCTATAAAGTATTACCCCTGTGTTGGACCTAGCTCTAATACTCCTTTATGTACATAACTGCTTAGATAAGAGTGCCTGTTACTGTTAGTCCTAAGTAAGGTTATTATTTTATTTAATAAGATTGCTGATATATTATGACACTTTATCATGATAATTTAGACCTTCTAAATTCTGGAGATCATATTGGACAATTCTTATAAATATATCATCAGAGAATACACATGATTACTCACACAATAAATAAGTCTTAAGAGAAATGTCATCAATGAAATATAAAACAGTAATGTCGACTTTTTTTTTAACCTCAGTGATTTCAAGATGTTGCATGCTATTTTTAGTGGACATGTGGATGTGCACCGAAAGGATAATTATAAGCCTACAATTTTAACTAATGATTTTTCATATAGCTTAAATCATAGTTGGTTTCTTTTTTTTTCCAGAGTGACAGATGCTATTTTCTATTAGAATGTTTGACAACATCTTTAAATATATTATAATTTCCAAATATTTATCATCGATATAATTTCGCTTTCCTTGATCCTTTCATTTTTATACCGGAAGCATCTAATTTTAGTAACAGAAGTGTAAACATGTCGTCGACACCGCAGGTGATTTTAGTTTTTAGTGGAAAAAGAAAATCGGGGAAAGATTATGTAACAGATTTACTTCAAAAGAGGTGAGATGAAAATGAGTTAATTGAATTCAACTGAAGAAATTGTAATTTAAAATTCCAATTAATTTCACTTGTGCCTAAAATTTAACTTAAAAAAATCAGGCGATTATCGCCTCACACTAGCCACGCCCACAAAATAAGTAAACAAACTGAAAATAAAATTAATTTTAAAGGCATTACAATTTGCAATTTACAAAAATATACAGATAGCAATGCTTGTCCGTTTTAACTGGATACCTATAATTTTTGTCATATCTTTCATAGATTTGGTGAAAATGTTTGCACTATTATGAGGCTTTCCTCACCACTGAAAGGTCAATATGCCAAGGTAAGAAAAAAATAAAAGAGAAATTACTCAAACAGTTTTGTAATATTGAAATGAGTGTTTCAACGCAGACAAGATAATGAGCACATATCAATTAACTTTTTTATCTTCCATATTTCTTTTGTCTTCATTCCATACTCTCAGTGTTTAAGTTGCTTTTTGACAGAATATGAAATAATGCGATATGATTTTTAATTTGCAGGATCATGATTTAGATTTTGAGAAGTTACTGGATGCGTCAGAATATAAAGAGAAATATCGTAAAGATATGATAAGATGGGGAGAAGAACAGCGACAGAAAGATCCTGGTTATTTTTGTCGTTTGGCTACAAGTGGAGATAACTCTGATAAACCAATCTGGATAATTAGTGATGCTAGGAGAAAAACTGATGTGGAATACTTTAAAACTAACTATAGTCAACTAACTAAAACTGTTCGGGTAGAAGCTGATGAGAAGGTTCGACAAGATCGAGGTTTTATATTCACTACAGGTTTGTATGATTATGTTAGAAAGTTTCTGATCATTTCAACTAGGATTACCTACACCACAGAAATATACAGAGAATTTATTTGAGTTTTTTTTTAGTATTTTTTCACATTCTAAAGTGTCTTAATGAACTTAAACAGAAAATAGAAAAAGTGTCAAACAAACAGAAATTTTCTTTTTAAAAGATATTTTCATAGGTCTTGATTTTTCTAGGATTAGTTCATTTAGTGTTAAGTTTCATCAAAAAAACACCATGTGAGATCATTAACTTTCAAAGATTGTTTTTAGATACAAATAGTAAACATTTTGTTATTCCAGGTGTAGATGATGCCGAGTCAGAATGTGGATTAGATGAAGGGATTAATTGGGATTATATAATTAATAATAATAACGATGAGAATCTATTGAACTCTACTCTAAAACCTCTGATACAACACGTTGAAAATCAACCAAAATCTTGATGGATCTTTTTATTAGTTTTATTTGCTCTTTAAATTATGTTTGTTAAAAAATTAGAACTTAGATGTCGGGCCTCTGGTTGACTAGAAATTCAAAGCATCCAATCTAATTTATTGCCGTCAAGAGTCAAAATATTTTGTTATTATGAGCAAGAAAGTAGAAGCTATCGACTGATGACATTTCAGTCATTGGAATGCGCTGGTTGACAAAAACTCAGTGTTTGATGAGATTCCTCCTTCATGTGGCTAATTGCTAGCAGTTATGAAAAATCTAATCGAGCTCAGTTGCATGTTGACCAGAGGCTGTCTCAATTTTTAATTTTTTTTCAATATACATGCATAAGAATGCATTTCAGGAAGTAAGAATTTCAGCAGATCATTGAATGAAAAATATTTTTCTTATATTTTTATAAATAAAATTCAATTGTAAAATAGTATAAAATGTAAAATATTTTTGAATGTAATAAACTATGAAGATTAATTTCGTAACTAGACGTGTTTGGCTATTTATTTTTTGGGAATTACATAGTAAGTAATTAATGCTTTTTACACAATATTACAGATATCACAGCAAATATAAATATGAAATAATACAATACTAAGATAGAATTTACATGGTATGTTCTCTACTGGAACTTCTGAATATTTACAATTTTAACACATATAATATATACAAACTATAGATCATGGCATTATTCACTCATAGTGTTCAGAATATTCATGATAACAATAAACAGTTGTATTTTTCAGCAAATATCAGTAATAGCATGTCTGATTTTGGAAGTCCCTGCATGTGAATATATATAAGTGGACCATAAAAATGTTTTGCTTCAATTGCTTTTGCAAGTCCTTCAATTGTACACAATTTTCTTACTATGAAAGCCAAACGTTTACCCCCATCTGAATTTTATTTCAAACATGTCCATATGTATACAAATAATCGTCTCACATATTAACAAGACAACAGATTAATTGCTTGTGAACAAAAGCCCCAGATTAAAAAAGAAATCTGTTAATGTCTATGTTACAACAGTGTTTTAGCTATCTGATGGTAATTGATCTTGAGCATTCTGTATTGTAGTTCCTAATATACCCTCGATATCTTCTATAGCTCCCTAAAAAATCAAGATTGACCTTTCAGATTATTTTTCCATCATCCATTTCCCAATCTTACATACAAAATTAACTTCCAAAGCTGCACTTGGCCTTAAAAGGACAACTTTGCAATCAATATTTTTTCAATAGCCAAAATTATAATTTATCTCACCAATTTGCAACTGATCTATTCATGGTAACCTAATTTTCATTTCCCAAATTGTTATGAAATGCCTAAGCTGCACATATGTGGTATAAACTAATAATACAATATTCTACAACTTGACTTGATTACCTTAAAATTTGTTTCTCCCTGCATGTTAGGTGCTGATATTTCTTGATGTATAACTGATAGATTTCTAGCAAACATTGCCAGAGCACCTTGTAAATTATCACCAATAGTACTAAAATATAGAAATAATCATGAGTATAGTCAAACATGGATAATTTGGCTCAAATTCAAAACAAGTCAATTTTATTTTAGGCAGTTTAAGTAGTAACAGTAACAAACTTAATGTACATGTATAGTAACTAAAATAACTTAATTGTTTCTTGAAAGAAAATGTACTGCTAATGCAGTGTACACTAATATCTTCAAGAGAGCTCATATAATTATTATTTAGAAAAATTAATATTATTTTATAGATAACTGACATTGTTTAAGGAACTGCCTTCATATGTTTCATTGAGATTCAGACCAAAGAGTATCCTGAGTTAAAGAAATGGAATGCTACCAGCACCTGATAGTAACTGAACAATACTTACATCATGCCTAGTCTCTCTCTACTAAAACTATCTATTAATGTAAATGCTGTTCCTTGTTTTTCCTGAAATATAAAATTTTGATAGATAATATGCTTTAGAAATCATAATACATTCATTTAATTATTGAAATGTAGCTAATATTCATAGCTCAATCTTTTTTTACTACATAAATCAAACGGAATGCATCCTATTTTTCTGCTGTAAGTGAATCCATCCAGTGGGCAATTAAAGAAATTTATCATAACAGCTATGCAGCCTTTATCTGTTTTTTAATTTCCAACTGTCAAAGGGGTCTAAAATGTTATAGATGCCTTTACATGCCAGTCCCTTTGACCTGAATCTATCACCCGGAAGTGAAAATAGGTAAAGAGAGACTTCTTAAACAACACAGAAACACAAACCTTAATATCAAAGCCAATACCATGAGCACGGCACATTTGAAAGAAGACACTATAATGAACCACAGCCAAGTTGGTATGTAATAATCTAGTACTCATTACAGCATACCGTGATGTATTTGGATCATCCTGTAACAGATTATATTCAATGAAAATTAATCAAATATTATACAGAAGTTGGGATAAATAGCACTTTCATCAGTTATTACCTTCTACACATATGACCTTGCTATCAATCAAACTATATCATCAACATCACAGTATTTTCAGTCTGTAAGTAGCCTTAACTCGGTCCCCAATACAATATGAACTATTTATTTATACTTTCAATAAATTTACCAAATAAGTTGAGTTGTCAGAGGCAGATTGGCATAACATGAAGAATAAGCATATCATATCAAATTACAGAAATATTTACCTCTTCAGAATTTGATCGTTTTTTAGGTTTAATTTTTTTATTATCTTGTAGAGGTAGTGTAACATTAAATATATGGTTTTCTGTATCTAATTTACCATTAGTAGTATATAATAATAGTTGATAGATTGATAATGTATCACTATAATTTAAACTGATATCTAATGCCCATAGTTGTTGTTCCATCTAAAAATAAATATATCACAAATAACTTCATTTCCTTTATTTTTCAATGCATAAAATTGTTCGAAATCAACCTCACAATGGTCAAAAAACCACAATCAAACATCTTAAAGTCCAGAAATGCTTTGTTTAATTGTAAATACAGAGGGCTGATATTGAGCTTTATCAGGAAGTAAAGCTAATGTAAAGACGACTATATCTATAAAGTGTTCATCCATTTTTCTAGGTTCAACTCAAAAGAACTGGTTTTAAAATTAAATGCGTCATACCTTTGAATCAATGAAAGTAACAAAATCAACAGTTAGATATCCCACAATTCCTCGGGTTCTGCAAGCCTCAGCAATATTAAAGCAAGCATCATTGATAACTGTAGGCTCTATAGAAGATTGGGGAATTGACATGCCCCAACAAGAGAATGGTGATTCAGCATGTATTTGATCTCCTATAGTTAATATTTTAATATTGCCTGACGGTTCTATCAATAGATCAGCTGATAATGTTGTTATACTAGATGATGGTGGACATGCCTCAATTACTCCCCCTGAAAAACAAAAAGATTTTCAATTTATGACATAACATTAGCAATATCTCAATCATAAAAACAACATTCAGAGTTGGGGTACACAGATTTACTTATTTTTGTTCATTTTTTGAAATAATTCTTGTTTTTTTCTTGACTGTCAATAGAGGGAGTAATGTTTGATTTCTGAACTTCATTTATTCTTAACTTTTGTAAAATCAATTTCATAATAACATTTAATTTTAATTCTAATTTTAGATGATAAAACAAATACCCCTTTCAGACACAAAAAAAAGTGTAAGCTCAAGTCCACAAATTCGAGATTAAAATGATCATAAGGTGCACACACATAGCCAAAGAATGCAAAATGAAAGTAGAGAGCAAGTTCTTTTGATGCTTTTGCACGTAAATAAAACTGAAACCTCTCATCATCATAAATGATCAAGACTCAAACAGAAACAAACTTAATAAAGATATTAAGAAGAATAAGAAAATCTGCATCTGTTTACCTTGACTAAGAAAAGCTTGAATATATTTTGTCCAGTTAGGATATAGTTTGGTATTAACAGGTTGAGCATAAGTAGTTAAAACACTTGGTATTTCACCTAATATCTTTAAATATGCTGCCTCCTGAAACAAAATTCATATTTTTTTGTTAGTTTAAAAGGACATTCCACTTTTTTCGTAGGTTGAAAATTATATAAATATAACTGCATTGAGGCAAGCTCATATGTCTGCTATTGGCTGACAAAAATATTTATGCAGAGTTTTCAAAGTGAATAATAATATCGAAGATATTCCAAAGTATTACCTGAGCCCACTTTTTGGACCATTTTTCACCATACCGATGTGATTCTTTCAAGGCCCAGCTGTAACATGGTAGATATTGGGTGACATCACAGATAGCTATACCTCGACCATCAAATTCATTATCTAATTTAAACAGCCATCTTTTAACATCTAAATTTTCTGTCACTAATTGCGCTAGACACTCATGAAGCTGTAATTAGAATATGTATGAATTGTGAGCTGACATCATTAGTTTGATACAAGTGTCCTCAACAAATTTGAGCAAGCTAAATAGTCAGCATAAATTATCAGTTAAGGTAAAAAAAAAAAATTCTCAAAAACATACCTGAGCTAAACTGTAGATGTCATATTCACCATAAGGTAAAGCAACATTAGCACTAGCAAATATTCTTTTACTACCAGACTTGGTGGAATAAAGATGAGCTATGTCCGGTTCTGGTGCTAAGATTGGTACCTCTAAGGCATCAGCAACAGATAAATCATCTTTGTGTGGTACACCTGTTACTATATAGGCCTCTCTTCCAACGATTAATCTTTTAATTCTCTGTAAAGCTATTGGACTGTATTTTAATATTGTTGATAAACACATTCTATGTGTCTGAAAAAGAAGACAAATTAGAATGCAAGGTGGATATTTCAATTGATTTGCTTACTTTGCTGAGACTTGTAAAGTCGTTAAGAATATTGGATAGATGAACTACAAAACTAGGTGAACTAATAAGAACTGCATGAGAAATTGTAGTAGATCACTAATTTGATTACTCTGAATTGAGCTGTAATTGAACACGGAGCCGCAGTGAATTAGATGTTTGCTCGCTAACCTAAGGGTCCGGGGTTAAATCCCGACATAGGTCGAGATTTTTCAACCCATCAGTGATGCAGGTCGTTGGGATGGGACAAAAAACCGAGGCCCTGTGTGCTACAGACTGTGCACTTTTAAGATCCCTCGACCGTTGGAAATCGAAAAAGAGAAGGCTAATGCTGCTGTCCAGGCAAAATGTCCCTTATTGCAACCTGCATGGCGTTGCCCGTCTTCATTAGACAACATGGTGCAGAAAAGTAGAACGTATAACTCCTTTCATTTCGTTTCATTGTCTAATTGAATGGTTTGGAGATCTTGAATGTCTGAAGCACACATCCAGATAGTTGAATTTGCACATCAATTAATTAAGTCTTATAAGAACAATCAAAAAAGAAAGTGGAAAAAAAGCTTGACGGAAGATGACTATGTCTGTGGTGTCATTATGGTACTAGAAATAGAAAGTCATGCACCACTCCAACTTTGACTATCATTTTCAGTTGAAACTTACAGGGAAACTTTTGATTGCTTCTGGGACTATTATTTTATATCTTTCTGTGACATCTTGTTGATCTTCTACCTTCCCACTAGATATTGCTGATTTCAGTCCTAATAACTTTGAATAATACTGATAGGTTTCATCACTTAATGGTACAGGTGATACAAATATCACATCTATATTAGGATCTACAGAGAAAATAATAGGACATTATTATACATACCAATATATTAGTTGACTTTGAAAAATGAAATGAAATTGATTTTTAACAATAAATGGGATCTATTGCTCAGCTGAAAGCACACCAGGACTCAATTTAGGTTAGTCGAGGACTATTCCTAATTCAAACACCAGATTAGCCAGCAAATGGTTAACTTATATGACCATTATACATTGAATTACTTGACTGTAGTGATGCAAAATCATCTACATGAAGCATCTTGCCTAGCATTGCAACATTACAAGCAGTCCACTGTAAGCCTATAGACCAAGTGAGACACAACAGACGACAACAGCCCTGATTTTAATAATCACCTGATACCAGTACTTACCATGTAAATCACACAGTCTGCCCATCTGAGTATTCTGTCTAATACCAAAATTATGGATACTATCTCTGATATTCTGAGATAAACCTAATGATGGTATATGAATTACTACACGCCGATTATAACTTATTCTATCCCAGGATTTAGCTAATTTCTATAATAAAGTAACATTACATCATTAATTGTCAAAATGACTGTTAACTGTGAGGCTTACAAGCATACATATGTACAGGTCAAAAAAAAAATCTGGATTTATCTGTTTTGAAAAATCTGGAGATTGGGTGAGAAGTCGGGAGATTTTTCTAAAGCGCGTAAATTCATAATTTGAAACTCCAAATTGATTCTTTTTAAATAATGTAAGTGTCAAGATTGGTCATAATTTTTTGATGATGAAATGAAATGTAGTTTTACGTCCTACTTTTCTGCACCTGATAGGTATTATGAATACTGGTAACAGTGCACAGTGAGTGAAACTACTCACTTTGTAACTAAACGGTCAGAGAAATACAATGCTATATAATTATTCTCTTACCTTAGACCTACGTCTAAATGCCTCCAGTTCATCCAGACGAGTTTGGTGTAGTTGTTTGCGAACTTTAGCCATTTTAATATGCATAATCCAGGATATAGCAATGACACCAGCAGCCCATTTCAACCTTCTATATTCTAGATATTTCTTTCTATCTACATATCTTCTCCATACAGACTGTATACATGTAGCTGCTACAACTTTACCATCTGGTCCTAAAAACTTTCTACCCTGGTTGATAACAAGTTTTAATGACATGTTTTTATTTGAATAATAAGGTTCAAATAATGATGAGGGATAAGGTCATGCAGTCAGCAATGAGGGAAATTTTGTCAGGAGAGTAGAATTTGCCGCTTCTTACTTCAATTTGATACAACCAAGCACACAGCCAGTAGCAGAAGAACTTTTAATGTCTCATTAGATGCTTTTTTCAATCAGCCAGACTGGGTTGAAAAACCCTTAGGTTTAATCTACATGAATGAAGGAGCTGGCTACGATATTACAAAATAAAAGATGGAAACTTACTGGTTTAACAATAATAGATTCTACATCTTCTCTATTTACTATTACTGTTAACAAATCATCTATAGACGGTGCTCTCTCTAGTTCAAATTCTATAGCTAAATCAGCTAATCTGTAAATCAACAACAATCTCTCATTCAGTATTTTTAGTCTCTATTTGCTAAAGTGATGAATATCAAATTGATGTCTTAATTATATATAATAGCATAATATGCATTTTAGATTTAATCAATTTCCATTCTTTTCAACTGAAGTTTTTTTTTGTAGTTCATAGATTGGGTGAAATATGGCATTTTCTATATTTTGATTTTGACAGAAGACATAAAACTTACTTATCACCATGTATAAAAGCTATAGGTACAGAATATATACATAATAGCTTCTCTAGATGTCTGATAGTTGTCACAATACTGAAATATAAATATCAAACCCTTTTAAAACTCTGAGATTTACAAAATCATACTGACGTACTGCTCTTTGGAGGAGTCCACTAATAAACAACTTTTAGTCTAAATTCTACCATACATGATTTTGATCAACGGAGTTGTCTTTCTTGAATGCATTTTTATTTTCATCATGCTAATTTAAGATCTGGTCACTGAACTGTGTATACAGGTACTAGTATATAAAACTGTATAAATGTTAATATAATGCCCACCCATTCTTACCCTCTAGAAAAAAACAGGGGAAATGTCTGCACACATAATAATATCCACCATGTATGGACAAATAATCAACAAGTTGGCATATCGCAGGGTCACTTTGTTTTTTTTCACTTGATATGTAAATGATTTTCTTACCTGCCCCATGATAAACAATAATGTTGTTTAAAAGCCAAGAATTCTGGATGAGAATCTCTGACACGACCATGTTGTATAGCAAATCTATGAGATGACAGCTTTAAATCTCCACTAGCTGGTGTGGTGGGTGGTGGCTGAATCAAATCAAATTCATATTATTACATTTATATTGATCTAAAAGTACAATTAAAGATTTATTTTCCCAATATTTGCTTCACCAGCTGAAAGAGCTCAATTGCTATCTGTAGCACTTTCGTAAGACTGGAATATAGATAATCTAATAGTAACAAACTTCACAGCTTAACTAATGAAGATCATTTGAAAACATATCATAACTTGATTTATAATTTTAAAATATTTCCAAATTCTCCAATACTTATGTTAGTTAGTTATTAGGGACTCAACCATGTCAATTAAATGAGGTTTAACTATCAGTACGCGTTCCAGCAGGTAGACTCTCACACTAGATAGACAGGAAAGTAAACTTTGGAAAAAAGGTTATAATGCCGTTAAGAATGTCAAGCCATTAAATATTGAAATGAAACAGAAAAGAAAGGGAAATAAAAAGAAATGAAATGAAATGAATGGAGTTTTACGTCCTACTCTTCTGCACCTTGTGGGCTAATGAAGACGGAGGAAATAAAAAGAGGAGATGGAATTATTCATTAGGCACACCACCTTCAACCATCAAACAATACCTGATAATGATCCCCCTAAATAAATAATAAATAATATAACTGATAAGTTGGTTGACCAGTACCAAAAAAAGCTCAGAAACATGCATTGCATATCTGATCCAACAATGATTAAAAACATAGTGCCAAATTTCAATAAACTAAAGGATCCACATTTGGAGCCAATAGTCTGTATATAATTGTGGAAGAGTACTAAAATTGGATCATAATATATATTTCTTTTAATTTTTATAATTTTTATAAATTTCTTTTGTGTGACAAGACTTTATGGCTTCTTTTCCTGTCAGTCCAATTATCTTTCAGATATCTGCTGTTCCTTTATTAAATAACTTCTGCAGAAGTTTTTTTTATTATTGATCAATTGAAATACTAGCAGCTTTTGCAAAGTGTTGTCTAATTCTTGCTTTTTCGTGGCAACCATGTCTTGAAGCTACATAGACCACAAACTTTATCTTTAAGTCCTAATATCAATTCTTGATACTTGCTTCTAGAAATCAGTAGAAAAAACATAAGAACAGAAGGCAGAAAGATTTATGCGATCACCAATCACTATCCACTTATAAAGGTGTAGTCTAAGACTAGTCTTAAGCTGCGAATAAGTCTGGTGCAAAAAAAATCGATGCAAAAGAAAACAGAAGAAGTGAACACGTGAGGTACGGGTCTGGACATGGTGCAGAAACGATTCATTTCTTCTATTTTCTACTGTATCAACAATCCCACACAGCACACTGTACCTCATCTTTTCGCACCTTAATACAGAAACAGACAGTATAATACGTGCATTGAATAATATTTAAATAGAATTTCATGCAATAATATATATTTTGAGATAGAAACAATTGAAAACACCTGTAATGGTGGAAGACGATTCTGTAATAAAATGTATATAATTAAAATCATAATTAAAGCTATTTCTTTAAAATATATGAACAGGAAGATTAAGGTAAATTTGACAAAAATGTAACTTAATTCACAATATTTAAGATATAACCAGTACCGACTTCTAATTGGCTAAAGTAGCAGTATGTCCTAATTTTCAGGGTACATTCTTTATTGACAGGTAAATTGGTCAGTTCCAGGCAAATTGGTCAAAAGGTCACAGAAATATAGTAAATTGGTCATAGTTATATGGTCACAAGGTAAAACAGTAACTAGTCACAAAATAAATTGGTGTAATTTCAATCAATAACCAAATTACAATAATCAAACTTAATGTGACCAACTTACTGAGACCAATTTACCTTGTTTTCAAATAACCGAGATCAATTGGATTTAAAGAAAATCGCTACCGATTAAAAAATTACGTTACTATATATTATATATGTAATTTTTTACCATTGGTTGTAAAGGTATCTCATATGTTTTCATGGACACTGGTGTTTTTGGTTGATTAATGGATGCAGCAGACGTGAGACGAGAATTACTGAAATATCTTCTCATCTCAGAGGAAGTAGCTCTTGTTGGTGATCCTGGCTTACTGTCACGATCTTTCTCATTTACATCAAACTTGACACCAGCATATTGTCCTATAGAATCTAGATATACAGACATAGTGTAAGTCAAGAGCTGATAATTAGCTGTTCCTGTAGTGGTACAGGAAGATGGAGGCCACACCAAATATAAAATGCTCAAGCCTGGAGTAAAAATAAAATAAAAACCTGTTCTGGAACATTTTTGTTTTTATCCGTATCTATTTTAGTTTAGGCTGTGGATTGGGGGAAGGCTCTAACTTCGAAACACCCAGTATGTTTTTGAAAAAAGATTGTAAAATATTGTCATTTAGCATGTATATTTTTCTGTGTAGATGTATAGAGAAAATGTAATACCTGCTAGAAGTGGTGATTTAGTTTTATCCTGTGGATTGTGTAACTGCAGTAATTGTTGACGGACTGGTGAGGGTTCTAGAGTTAACTGAGCAGCAGGTGGAATCAATCCTCGTTCCATTAAACTCATGATGCCTTTTTGTGTATCTTCTTCAGATATTGGTGGTGGCGCTAACTGAAATAATAGTAGTACACCAACATTTAGACAACTTATCTTCTGTTATTTACAACTTGGTGAATATCCATGTTCTGTGAGTTGGCTTACTTACTCATGCAATCTGGTCCTTTTCGTGCCTTATACAAATTTGATTTGATTTGAGTCATAATTTATTTTGACTACAATTTTACTACAATATGAATTAAAAGAATTATTTATTTAGCATTATTTGAAATGAAATTTCATACCTGGGCGTCAACTCTATTAGCTTTAGGTAATACTGTTAGTTGATCTATAGTACCACCTGTTATAGGTTTATTAGGTGGCTGAAAAATTAAGTCATGGTTAACAATTCAGATTTAAGAATATCATTTGATATTAGATATTTTCTTACAAAAGTCAAAATCAAACTAGATTACACTTTGTGTCATACTTCATGTTGGTTTTTTTCCATTAAAAAAGTCCCTGTTACTCATACAATCAGTTTTTCACTTTTGGAAGCCTGTAAGCCTTTAAGCCTGTAAGCCTGTGGCCTGGCATTTTTCATAAAGTCTGCAATGGAAAGATATATTAAGTGTAATATTACCTTATGATCCCGTTTATCTTGAATCAATGGTAACTGAACACCAAAATTATCTTGCATTACATTTCTGTTTAATTGATTATGTGGATTAAACATAGCTCTCAGATTACGTTGCTGTTTCATCTGAAATTCAAAAAATATCACCTTGATTTTTACTCTCTCTTAGTAAATGCCAGATAAATTCTGTTGTTTTAATTCGGTGAAGAAATTTGGAAAACTAGTTGTTTTTTTTAAATGGAGTAAAACAAGAGAATTTACATTCTACATTGGCCTTTTTCTATCTGTTGAGGAATTTTAAAATGAATATTGCACAGAGCAATGGTTTATTCAACAATTGTTGCACATTTTGCAAGTCAATTTCTATCACACATCTGATGACAATCTAAAACAAAATATCTCCTTATTTTCTGTGTAAAATATTAAGGGTCTGAAAACAACGTGTTAAAATACACTTGCCTGTTGACCTGGGGTCAAACCTTGTAACTGAACATTTTGTTTATTAGAAAATAATACTGATGGTGGTTGAGGCTTCCTATTAACATCTCTACAGTTAAAAGTTACAATATAAAAGCATAGCATTACCACTGACAACATAGCAAGAAAAAAAACAAGGATAATAACAGATCCTATCTTCCGGAAAAAACAACCTCTTGGCATTGATGTTTCTCTAATTAACCCTACCCATTTCATCTGTGTCGACTGGAATAATGAAAAAAGATGAATTGTCCAAAGACACCAAATCACACAGCTACCAAAATTAAGACTGATACTCCTTGAATTCATTCAATTTTTGTACTGTTTTTTTAAAGCTTCTGATAATAATTTCAGGGAAACATTGTTCTTTCCTTACCGTGATAAATAAGATGTTCTATTGATAACATCAGATCTATCATTAGTCTTTAAATCCCAGGTTGACTCTACAGCTACTTGATAATCATTACTTAAACTAAATGTTTGTATACGATTATCTAAATGGTGCACAACTTCTTCTGTTCTTCTCTGAAATTTCAAAACAATCAAATTTTATGAATCTATGGTTGTAACTTGAAAATATCAAATAAGCATACAACAATTTGTAAAGTTAACTACTGAACAGTTCAAAGTTTACTTGTTAAAAATTAAAAAAAGTTTACAATGCCTTTTCAAATCTACCTGTTTGCCCCTGTTTGTATTCCACTTTTGTTATTTACATTATTTTTCCTATTACCTGAAGTCCCTTTTCAGTATTTGATAGAGCTGCTTCCACCTCTGATATATTAATAGTTTCACCATCTCCTTGAGCCAATAACTTCTCTCGTAACAGACGTAAATCATCTTGGACCTGTAAAAACATCATATGAAGTAGACTAATGGGAATTTGTTGTGGAGTAGGACAATCTAAGGTTCCAACTCTGCTGTCAGCTCTATCCTGTCTCATCTCTGTCACCTGTGTGACAAATTTAGCTCATCATGATCCAAAGGACGAAGGCAAGGCTAATTTATTCTTAATTGGCATAATGATGGTAGCCTAATCTAAACTAACATAAATGAGAAATAGCTCTTGTCTATATATTGAATAAAAAGTTAGTATCATATAGGCTAAAACAAATCAACCAAATTATAAGAGTGTTTATTACCTAGTACTGGCAATGATTGAATAACTGACGTAAAACAGTAGAGAAGATAATTATTCTATTTCTAACAATGCCATACCTTTACTAAAATGTGTCCAACATCTTCTGGTTTTGTATCCACTTCAGTCATTACTGGCATCCTAAATCAAGCTTTTATGTAATGATATAAATGTTACAGAGCCATTTCTTGCAGAGAAAAACTTAATGCAGAAAGGCAGAAAATTAAGTCTCCACTTTTCCTGACGTATCGCGGCAACTAATGTAAACACCACAAACCTGTGACGTACTACACAATAATGAACAAGTATGGCCGCGCCCTGTGCACTGTTCGCTTCTTGTTCCAGTTTTCAAACGGACGAATTTATAAAAAGTATGATTTAACCTTGTAGCAAATGAAGTGAAAATGATACATTCCGAACAACCAAAGTGAAAATGGTCGTTTGAGTCATCATCTTCAAGATATATATGCTTGACGTGTATTTTAATGTCCATTTCTGTTTGTTTAGACTTTTAATTGCCTATTTTATGGACAGCCACCCTCACCAAAAGTGAAAATGTTTTTTTTTTTTTTTAAATGTCTCCGATAAATGAATGTATTTGAACTCTTGAGTTCATTTTGTGAAAAATATTGTATTATTTTTTCAAATAAACATAACTATCAATTTAATAACAGTCATATCAATCTGTTGATAAAAGGAAATTTATAATGGCTTTTTTTTTGACAGGAATATTAAATATATCAGAACTACCACCACATATTAATATATGTGATGATATTCAGGCTTACAGCTGGGATGTCAATACAAAATATTATACAGCAACTATACACTTATGTACTACAGAAAAGCGAACCATAGGTGATCAGAATTTTGCTGAATCTGTTCAAGCTTTTATAGTTCATTTTGATAATGATCAGGTAAGTCCACCCAACATTTTACTTGACAAAAGTAATTAAGATTTTGGGTTGATGTAATTTTCTTTCATTGCAGTGACATTTGGCATTGAACTTAAAGCATCTAGTTCCTCTAGATACACTTTTTGTTAGGATATGCTCTCACTTGCACAGGTTAGATAAAAATAATTATCTGTGTTTTAGGAGAAAGGTTTAAAGAATGTAGAATCATGGTTACCGTTTATAGACCAGCTGGAAGTTGATATTAAATTACTAGTTTGTAATACAGCTACAGATACCAAAAGTAAGTCTGTGATTGAAGAGTTTATGTGTGTTTGTAGCAGATGGACTCATTTCCACTTCATCTGTCTGCATTCAATTAGCAATACATTACCAAATCCATCATTAATGTTCAAAATTTTATTACTGAACAAACTGAACAAACATTACTGAGCAAATCTACTCTCAAAAGTTCTAACTAATGAACTCATCTATTGAAATTTGAACTAAAGTCTTGATTTAAGTTAAATCTTCAGACCAAAGGAAAATTTGGTACTTTGAAAAATTGAAACGGTTGCTATTATCTGTTTACTCCTTTAACATTAGCAGCCTCTCTACCGTCCATATAATTACAAAATATTTACCAGGTGACATCACCATGTTAACATTGTACACTGGGAGTTCAGAGTATATATTATCTAATCAATAATATATTTCAGCTATTAAGAGGTTAACAATACAGAACTGGTGTTTAGATAATAATTTTGAATTGGTAGAGCTCCAACCCGAAGAAACTAGTGATAGTGAAGGTAAATGTCTCTTTGTTTATAAACTTTCCAGCATGATATAATTTTCAAAAACTTTCAAAAATGGATGTGAATTTTTTTTTTTTTAGATGAGTTTGCTGAAACAACTGGAATTAAAAGAATTATTCAAGCCCTACATTCACATACATGGTCAAATTTACAGATGAAAGGTATATTAATTATGTAGATTTTCAAAATTAAATATATCAAAGATATTATACAAATTTAAACATTTCTGTTTCGATCTCTTAAAGGTCTTGAGTCAGTTTTTACAAATATCAAAATATTTACCAATGTTACCATTTTCAATAGCTATCCTAAACTAAAAATTTGACTTGATAGTCTTTTGTCGAAGTGATTATATTGAAGTCCTAAGAAGAATTTACAGTCAATGTTGCAATCCATATTTCAAAATAGCAGGGATGAAGAAACCATAAGAGATCAGAACATTTTAGATTTTACTTTTTTGAGTGCATATCCTTCCAGAAAATCCAGATGTTCGGAGTCCATATATAAAAGAATTAATGAGGGAAGAATCTGAATCTAAAGCATTATCTACAAGTAATGAAGAAGATACTGAGATTGATAAAGCCAGTGATACTACTAACACTAATACTGCCAGTGGAGACAATGTACAACCATGTAAACAAAGTACAAGTTCTGTAATACAAAAATCACAACCAAAAGAAGAAAGAATAGGCAAGTAGAAAATCTCTATCTGTGATGTCTATTTTGTTATGGTAGGAGTATGTGATGTCTATTTTGTTATTGTGAAATCTGTGATGTCTATTTTGTTATGGTAGGATGCAAATGGCTAGTCTTTCAGAAGACTCATCCCAAAAAAAACCTGATAAAATTGATGAAGGACATGACGATGAGAATCTTAACTATTTTACTGAAACACTTTTAACCGGTCTATTAATGAAAGAATTAAGTGGTCACAAAATGAATTTTGAAAAACAGTTTTTAATGCTCTAATAAATGCTTTCTAGATAGTATGATAACAGATAATGACAGGTCTATTCTTACTGCTCTTGGGGATGATACTCAAGATGAAGAAAATTTTGAACAATTATTTGAGAAGTTAAAAGTCATGAAAGGTAAATCAGTGAACTTGATTTCTAACTTAATTTCATTTTTTTTTTACACAGTGAAAATCTGTCCAGAGGAGTGCTGTTAAGTGTATGAGCAGGTAAAGACAGTCAAATGTGACAATACATGCTCTATATTTTATGTACAGTAAAACATATACAGTATCACTTTTGCTACAAATATGTAGGCACTAGACTTTCTTAATTCAATTAATTGAAATTCATATCTTTTTTTTTCAATTTAGATAAAGCAGAATCTTTACCACAAAGTGAGAGAAAAGCTTATGCTGAAAAAGTAAGTGTTCTTATGATGCTTCATATTCCTACTACTTTAGTATTCCTGTCAGTTCTGACTTAAATCATTTTGTCCCAAGAACATTTTTCCATCACTAACTCAAAATGAAATGAACTTAATAAATTAAACAGATCAATAGCTAGCTAGTTACATCTATTTATTTTTACAGGTAGCAATATCATTTTGGAAAGCTATAGGTGGTGATGATGATGATATAGATGGTTTAACAGACAGTGATGATAATGGAATTTAGTTTGGACTAGAATTATTTAAACCATTGATTTATAATGATGACCATTGCAGGTCACTGATAGTGCAGTTTGGGCAATTAGTGACAGATACATTAACTGTTCCTGTTCTGTTGCAGTTATATCATGTCAACAATATTCATGAATACAATTGAAAAACTGTGATATGATTAGCCAATTCCAGAATTCAGTTAAAAGCATCCTGTATATTTGTGTCAAATGAATAGCAATTAAGATAAAAATGATGTAACATTAACTTATATAATCAAGATATATTTAATCATGTTCATATTTGTACAAGTTTCATCATTGTGTCAATAAAAATATCAGAATATTAGTCAGTTTTGTTGATATTCAATTGCCTTCACACTATGAGTAAAATCAAAATTATGCACAATGAAATACTTCTTAACACATTTCAACTAATCAATGGCTCACCTTCAGACATCTGAGGATCAAGTAATATATTTTGTTAACAGTGTCTTATATATCATCTAAATCATTTAATATCTCTTCTGTTGTTTGTTGTTCATCCGTTTCCATGGCAATATCTTCGTCACTGTCCTTAGTTTCACATTCTTGCTCCTTACTTATATTGTCATCTTTAATAGTTTCTGATATTTCTTGGTCTTTAGAATTTGTTAATTTGTCAATGTCCTTTTCTTTCCCAGTGTTGTTGATTGAATCCTGTTCACTTGTTGTTTTTGATTTTGGTTGAGTGTCTGTTGTAGATCTAATGGCTTCACTAACATTTGTTACCATATCAACATCCATGTCTTTGTTAATCTTGTAATCTGAAATACTGTCTTGTTCACCAGAATTATGAACAGATTCACTAACTGTCAGTTTCTCTAAGATTTTATCATTTGTAGATTCTGATTGTGCCAAAGTCTCAACTGAAGAACTTGCAGAATTGGAAATATTTCGATCCCCTAGTTCACTGACATCTTCTGGTGCAGAAACAGATGTACATGTTTGAGAATTATTTGAATCATCTACAACAGGAGTAACTGGTGGTTTGGTAGATGGTGAACCTAAAACAAAATAAAGGAAATAGATGTCCTGCCAGCCTACAGAATCTGACACAAGGCTCTCTTGCATATCAACAAAACCTTCCATAGAAGCTCATACTGTTGTCACTTTCAGGCCAGTATTAAACATGCTATCCGGCGGTGTGGTGTGGTAGTGGTAACAATAGCAAAATCTTTCATGGTAATTTTTTGTTGGTGGATGAAGGACCAGACTGATTAAAGGTTTGAAAAGTTACACATATATGAATGACTTCTGGCAAACAGTTGCGAACTATTATGAAGTTAATATTATCAACATTACTTTCTCAAAATCTCAGAAAATTCACACTCAATCCAATGAATTGTTATTTTGTTGTAGTAAATCATACCTGTTGGCTTTTGCTCTAGTCTTGCTAGGCGTTTCTCCATAGCTAATCTTTTATTTCTCTCTATCCTTTCTATCTGGTCTTCGGACAGTTCCTAGAAAAGAATTTCAACACAAATTATAAATATTCAGCCTTTGTCCTAGGAAGACAATTACTTTGAAATTAAGTAGAAGGTAATGAAAGTCAACACAAGGCAGACTCTCAAAAGCATGGGCAGGAGTGTCTTTATCTTTATTATCTTGAGAGAAATTGGCAGTATAGCATTAGGATATTCCCTCGATCTTTTCACTTTTAGAGTACCATATTTCCAACAAAAGTATCTCAAAAGATTTTTTGTCACTTACATTAGCAGATTGTGATTTTGAAGGTGATTTTTGTTTATCTTGTGTAGGTTGAGGTCTTTGACTAGCTTCTTGTCTCATCATTTCATCAAACGCTTCTTCTGCATCTAAATCATCAACCTACAGTAACAACATCAAGATTTCAGTGATAAATTAACCAACTGGCCATTATTGCCAGAAAGGAATAATTTTAATTATTCAAAATATCTTCTAAGGAATCTAATCAAATTCAATCCCTACCAATAAAACTAAAGCTTCCATGCCAAAGTAATATTTAAGAAACAGGCTCTGGAATTTGACAATGTATCCAGGAATATATGATCTCATTCAGAACAAAACATTTAGACATTTTGAATTTTTCTACCTGCTTATCAGTGGCATTATCTTTATTTCCATTTATTTCTTCTGTTTCCTCTTCATTTTTATCTCCAATAAAATCTTCATCTAATATTGGCATATCTTGTCTCATTTTCTTGATACAAGTCTGTTCAGTAAAATATCAAGAATTTTAATATATAACAGATAGACAATATATTTCTAGAACATAGCTCATATTCTAAATAGAAACTGTAGACGACAAGAAAAGAAGATACAAACAAACACATAGTCATCTGTTTAAGTTTGTTAGTTTAAATGTCCAAAGACACTAATTTTCTTAATGCTGCATGGTAATGGTTTAATTCCTCTGTCAGCTGCAGCCTGATTGTACTTATAGTACAATTTTGTTTTGTTATTTTATCTAAGTCATTTATTTTTAAAGAATTGTACAGTAATCATAGCTTTGGATCAGAAAAAAACTAAAATAAGGCAGCACTCAGAAAAGAGTAATATAGTAATAGTAATATTTTATGCCAACTTGGTCGACCAAAACATTCATTGGTATTAAGTACACTACAACAATAAAATATGTTTTTGATCCTACCTGTACTTCTTTCTTGGATCCAAGTTTTTCAACTCTTTCTAAAACTTCATCAAAAGGTAATTTAGGGAACAATCTATGCCCCCAATGTTCTAATTTATCCATTATTAACTTTAAATCTTGCATCTAAAGTTACAAGTATAATTAAGTAAATTATCCATAAGCTCGATTGAATTCCTTTCAGTCTTAAAAATCCTGGTACGCTAAACATCACAACATGAATCTTATAGTTCAAAAGTACAAGAGTCTGATGGATCAAAAGTACAAGAGTCTCATAGTTTAAATGTACAGGAGTCTCATAGTTCAAAAGGAAAAGAGTCTGATAGTTTATAAGTACAAGAGTCTGATAGTTTATAAGTACAAGAGTCTCATAGTTTAAATGTACAAGAGTCTCATATTTGAAAAGTTCAAGTCTCATAGTTCAAAAATTCGCATAGCTAGCAGATTAACCATGATAGCAGTGAGGCACAATTGCTTCCTTGCTGCCTGATGGCAGAATAATATTCAAATGAGTTTTCTGCAAACAGATTGGGTCCAAAACCATTCCTGCTTATCAGACTTGCAAAATTATATATCGAAACACAATCATTTAAAATAAAATACACTTTTCATAGTAGTTTTAATATTTTCTGAGTAACAGGTTTCTTTTAATAGTCTTTGGATTGGCTGTATAATATGCTCAGCAAACTGAAAAATAAAATGAAGTTACCTCATGCCCCTTTCCTTTAAATTTTATGTCTTCAAATAGCTTCGGTAATATTGGTATACCTCTATCACCTGTTAACCTACGAAGAAATAGTTTCAATTAATAGTTATCTATAGAAATAGTTATTGGAATATTTCTAAAATTTGCATAAAGACAGGCACTGAAAATTGATCAGCCAAAATATAACACTTGCTCGGTAAATATGCTTCTTTTTCTGATATTCTGAATATATCCAATGAAAAGACTCTTTTTCCAAATCAGCTATGATGGATTTTAAGAATATTTTTCATTCTAAAATCATTAAATAATTTTACCTTTTAGCATCAAGTTTTGGTATAGGACGTCTCACTATTTTCTTTGCAGCACCTTTCATATCTTTCAACTTGGACAACACAGCATCATTTTCTTCAGAAAAAAATTAGACTTACATTATTTGGGTCTGGCAACTGTAGTAGATGTGACAATTACAATGTTCATTTAATATCATAAATCTTTAATCATTTATTAAAAATATGATTTATTTTTCAAACAACTGGCCTATTTTTTAGAAGGTAGTTATTACACAAACCTGCATCTACATTCAAGTCTGTATTTTGTGTTGGTTCTAATTCTTCTGGTAAATCAGGTAATGGCCGCGGATAATTATCTTCTTCTTCATTTTCGTCACCAAATATATCATCCATTTCTAATGGTATGGTTTCCATCTTCTCTGGTGTTAAGCTGTCACTACTGGTTTATATTTTTCTGTTGATCTGTAAAAGAAGGCAATCTCAAAATACTTTTAATAAACTTACATAAAAAAATTACAAGTAGTGCCAAACTTTTCATTTAGAAGTACATACAGGGACACATAATGATGTCCAGCAGAGGATGTTTATCCTCAGTCCTTTGAGCTGCCCTGCTACTGCCAGCCACGTATGGAAAAGATAACCAAATCAACAGTCCTGGTAAATAATTATACAATCAAACAAGTAGCATCAAAATAAAAGATTTATGGCACAAGAAATAAGAATGGATAAGTATAATAATAAGAATAAATCTAGTTCCAAATAGTAATAATGGTAACAGTGACTGTGGCAGCTTTACTTACATTTATTGAGTTATTAACCGAAGTGCAAGTCTTGTTGAAGAGAAAACGTAATCGCTCTATTTTATTTCTCGCGGGAAACTTTCACTTTCATTTCCGGTAGCTTCTATCATCCAGTCCCTCTTTAGATGTCTAGGTATCAGAGACTAAAATAATTTTTGACTACATCCAAAGAGTTCAACAACTGTATGGCACTATAATAAAGGTTTATTCCAAGATGTTCTCTCATGTCATTCACCATAATCATCTATGGCACATTTATAGCCTGATCTATAAATAGATCTGACATTTTTTCATTTCAGACTAAAGAAATTATTGGTCATCAATCAATCCCAACACAGTTAATGCTTTCTCATGTCAATTTCTGTCAAAGTAGCATGGTCTGAGCCAGATTAATAAATAAGAACTCTATAAGCCTATGGTCTAAGCCAATCTCCCACGCAAAGATAACCTGATTGTCAATCTGTGTCAACTGCTAGGAATCCTGTTACAAACAACAAGGAAAACAATACAGATAAATCAAGTTCTAAAACAACTATGTTTAATTCAATGCTATGAAATGCATGAGTTGATAGTTCTTACAAAAGAAAAAGGGCACACCTGTGTATAATATCCTGCCTAATTGTAAGGCTATGACTAATATGGTGCAAAACTATGACTTTCTGTTGAAGAGGCAAGACATACAAAAAAATGTTGAAAATAAACATCTTTATTATCAATGATGCTGATTGAGATCAGAGAGTAAAGTTGAAAGAAGAGTTAAATTCATTTAGAAAGAGAACAGAATAGACAGCGTAAAAACAATTTTTAGACAAAGTTCATCACATTTTTAATTATATAAATATCCCTAAAATAACATAGGTGAATAAATTACGTAGATAAAAAGCATTAAAGTATATATTTTTATTTGCTACAGAACCAAAAGGAAAAAAAATAACAACAAAACCCTAAAATGGGTTAGTATAAGAAATACATGATGGAATGAACAATGAAACAATACCACAAGCCACATAAACAAAATTAACAAACATACTTTAAACCATCTCCATTCATACTCACATACATAAATACTCTTTAATTAATAACAAATAATTCAACCTAATACCATGTTAATAATACTGTTATTGAATGAATTTTACTAAATATATCTTTTCATGATAAGAATTGGACAGTTTCCCCAAGTCTAAATTGTCATCACTCTTCAAGTTATTAACTCACAGGAAAGTTAACACAGATGATTATACAAAATTTCAGTAATAATTGCACATAGAATGTTAATATCAACCGGATAGTGACAATAGTTTAAACTCAATATAGTATAATTGTTTTAATTTGTAGGGGAACCAGACGCCACTTCTGAAATTGAAATCACCTAGTAGAGAACAGAGACCTTTCTTTATTTAATACAGCTCTCAATTAATTCACAAGTGAAAATCCAACTGAGCACAATTTTCTTTTGAAAATTGACCTTTAACGGCATTAAATCTTTTCATTTCCTACACACAATCCTAATCAAAATGAAACATAGTATCTACCACCCAGTTCTTTAAGATCATCACTAAATAAAAAAAAATCTGACCAACAATTGTCACATATAAATAAATACTATCCTAATAATTATTTCTCTTGGGCAGAAATTAGTGGTTAACTATGTTGATTAGTACAATTAATAAAAAATAAATTAAAACATAATACTGTTAACAAAATATTGAAAATATTAGTTTCTTAAAGCTAAACAAAAACAAATATCCTATTGTAATACTGAACAGAAGAATATATTTGAGATATTTATCTTACGTTCACACACAATTTATCTAAACAGATATCTTACAATGAATTTAGAGACAGTAAAACAGGATTTCTTTACAACAGATCAATAAAGATGGAAGATCTTAGTATGAGATGATAACAAATAATACATATCTTATATTTTAGTCATGGTTCTAACATAGATAAATAGTTTTATTGTTTATAAGACATATAGAAGTAGGAAGATTACAATAAGACACTAAGATATATGGATATACTATTACTGCATTTATGACATACTACGTTTTACTTGATAATGTTACCTGCATGTGTTCCAAAATGTAGTATGTAATAAATGCAGAAATAGTATATCCATATATCTTAGTGTTTTATTCAGGTAAATAGTACCTGTTCTGTCAATGTCATATTAGAAAACATCAAAACAAATCATACCAGATAGATTCAATATGATAATAATAACAATATAAGTATCATGTAAAATTACACCCATATGGCACATTGCAATTAAAGGAATATATAGTCATGTTTATATTTACTGGGTCATCTGATTATGCAATGCTCAATTTTATCTTTTGTAATAATTTTAAATGAACCACAGCATATTGGATTTACATTCTTCTGAAAGTGTTACCTTAAATGAAATTGAGATCAATCAAGCATCTAAGGCAAGTACAAGAATAATCTTTTGTGTTGACAGGCACATAAAAGACACATATGTATGTATTTTAAGTTATTATGCAATGATATATTAATGTAATTGAAATCTATCAATACAAGGCTCAAACTCCCTTAAATGACTTATAAATTAGTTTTAGAAAAACAAATATATACGAATATCTGGTGCTTTAGTAGTTAGACCCAGCAAATGATACTGTGTGTATATGGAGAGTATAATACAGTGATGAGTATCAGAGGTGTACCTAAGCATGGCATGCCACATAAATTACAAGAACACACACTATACAACGTTAATAGTTCAGTTATATTTTAATAACAATTCACTACTTTCTTCTGATTTTAAATATTCACTTTTCAAGATCAAAAGCTACTTATGCTGTGATTTAACAAGAACATGATGAGAAAATGAAAACCATTATCATTTCAGGTCCGTATCTTATGAACAGCTATGTCATTAAAAAGGAAAACATAACTCAGATACGATGATGTTCTAACCTAAACTGAGCACTGTCTGATGATAAAGCACACATTTAGACAACTAGAACTCTTAAGAACATTAATTCAAATATTTCTTTAGTATATGTGGAAAATGTGTAAAATAATCAAAACAATTATTACTTAAAATATGCTAATTACCACTGGAAGATAAGAATATAGTATGAGATATTGTATTAAATTAAAATAATACTTAGTGAGTAACAATCTTGCACAATATATATAGGATTTCTCTTTCATTTTATCTGTTTATTAATAATATCACATAAATCTCTCTATAGCTAGTACAACACATCTATTCTCCCTATATTTTGATTGAATATAGTATGATGGAATGCAATCAAAAGCATTGGAAAGACAGGTGGTGTTTAATGATGAAAGGAGAAAAAACGATAAAGGAAAGAGGATTTCTTTTATAAAGGAATTTATCTATTGAAATGGCCAAGAGAACCATCTTAGTGAATTATTCGATGAAAACATTAAAGTAGTTTCACGCATAAGGCTTATCAGAGCCCAAAGCTTTATGTATGACTAGATTGGTACATAATAACATTTATCAATTGAGTATGATTGATAAAGAAATGCTGTGATGTTAAGCAAAGAGCACAAATTTCTTGAAAGACATTTTTTTCTAGATTAGGTACTTGGTTCATAAAAGCTGCATCAGGAATTGGTTAAAGGTTTAATCCCACATCATTCCCTTCACAAGAAAACAAAGTGACTTCCCTTGAAGAAAATGTCAAGAATCTTGCATTTGCCTAGAATAATCTTATCTTGTTAATTGCAGCGTAATTAAATAAAGACCTAATGCTAGAATCAGCTCATTGTATAGAACAATTAGTAGGGGTATTTGACTGACAACAAGAATAACGTTCATGTAGAGGTCTAGGTGGTATTAAATCTAAATCTTCATCATCAGGTTCTAGATCTAAATTATAACCATCTTTTATTAATTGTTCTGTAATTTCTTTATGAGCAGCTTTAGACATTCGAGGCACATCAAATTCATCTTCTTCACTATAAAAAATTAATAGATGTGTTATTCTCTGCATTTTAATACTTTAATGCTACCATACTTTAAAATTCTTTTATAATAATGATAATCTTATTTCACATGTTTACAAGGCACGCTGTAATTAAAGATAGTGGACCACAGCCATATACGCCCACCATGGCATGCCGATGGTAAAAAGGAAACATCCATCTTAAGTTTCATCAAAATTGGTTCAAAACTAAGATAGCATATTCAAGATTTTTGCAGCAAGGGCAATAACTCTGCTTCTAACAGTCGAAAATAGCTCAAATTCGAGCTTGATCTTCGTTTTATGAATATATATACACATACCGAATTTTATTTGATTCCATCAAAAAATCTAGTGTTTTGATCGTTTACAAGCAAATGTTGACGGACAGACCGTCGTACGGACGGACAGGGGTGCCAACAATATACGTCCACAAAGAAAGATGTGGGCGTATAAAAATTAAACAAGACTTGTAGAAAACCATTTCCCACCATTAATGCGAGAAAATCTTGTTTACCACTTCCTTCCACGACTTTCGATTGCTTGTTTGAGTTCCTCAAATTTAAAATAAATATATGATTCTATGGCAAACTAACCTGTCACTCATTATAGCAACTAATGGCTGTTGATCTGGACTAGGTGTATCTTGGTTCATTGCCTGTATGGGTACCCTGTAACAATTATATAAATAATACTTATAAGCCAGCATCGGTTTGTAATAGACCTATTGCTATACTATTACGAACAAAGCGTCAAGGTACTGTACCTTTTAACAAAGTAAAACATGATCTTCATTTCTGTCTGATATATCATGGCACTATTTGGAATGCAATTGTCTGAGCAACCTCCTGAATCATCAAAAGTATTTATTGATTTTTAATTACCTGTTTCTTGTTAAGAACGTTTTTTTGGGTTGCTGGTCTATGGCCTTTTGTGCTCTTCTAGCTATTTCACGATGCTTTTCTGAAAATTGATTAATTATTTCAGAAATAAATATAGATTTTGTTATGGTTTTAGGGATATTAACTTGGCTTTATCATGTGACAAGACAAATAAGCAATTTAAGCTGATCATGTAAGGTTGTCACCTTAATAGCAGAAATTATTTTCACTTAAAAATTTGCAAGTTCCATTTCTTATATTTCAAATCTTATTCTGTTTTTAAATGAAAAAATGTCCTATATGAAGGGCCATGTCACAATTTTCTTTCATTTATAATATTGAATGTATTGAAGAGCAATCCTTAGTACTAAATTTCAGATCCAACCCTAAATTATATATATTTTTTATATGAAATACCATTTTCCTTTCCATTCAATATAGGACAATTCCTCAGTTTCACCATTGAAAATGTTTATTATAATTTCCATGGTTATTAATGTTCCTGTTGGAACCAGTATTCTTCTTATATATTTCAGATTCGGAAGATAATGGATTTGCATTTCAAATATTCTATATCATTCTTTTAAACTAACTTCACAAACATTGCTCTATCACTAGAGGTTACTCCTACATGCCTGTGCCTGTGCTTTTGTAACATTGCTTAACCAGAATGTTACAACCTAAAATTCCTAAAAACACCTAAGGGACAAGGGTATTGAATTTGAAAGGTTAAATCAAATGTAGATTTTGTTTCCATTCTAAGGGATATATTCATAAAAATATTTGTTTTGCAGGCAAGAATTAACTATAATAAAACAACAAGCCTTCTCTGGTCTTTATCAAGCATCTTTATGAAGATCAAGACTTCAACTTAAATTTCCTTACCTATCTTCTTCTGCAATTCATTTGGTTTCTTTTGAGCTTTCAGGTAATCTTTATCATCTAATTTAGACTGGAAATTCAATAAGGTATAAATTGTAAAGACACCACATCAGAATGTATGACTTTTTTAGAGCCAGCTTCAATATAACAACAATTGTTAAAAGAAAATCATGTCTAGCTTTGAACAAATATTTATTGAATTATTTGTCTTCAGACATTTGTCCAAATATCTATCAGAGGTTGGATTAGAGACAGATGTTTCGATATACAGGGCCAGGGGGCTAGCACAAGATAAGTTACCATCTCATGCGAGTCATGTAATGCGAGGTAGTTCTACACTAGGCTTAGTACTGTAGTAGTCATCGTTATAATGACAATCATTCAAGCATTACATTTCTAATAATGATAGGTTATTGCCTTTTTTGGACTTGCAATAATACAATTAGTAATAATACAATGTACAGTAAATAATACAGTCGGGTAACCTAATTTCGTGCTAACCTATTTTTTCGTGCATCTCCGAAAATAATTAATAATTTACATGTGCGACCTCGCATGACCTACGCATTTGCTTTTTTTGATAAACATGGGTTATCTCTACAATGTCAGCTAGTAGAATGAATCCAGTATTTTCAAGCAAGGTAAAATGTACAGTCAGGTAACCTAATTCGTGGAAACCTATTATTTGTGGATTTCAGAAAATGTTTAATAATTTACATGATCGACCTTGCGCGACCTCCGCATTAGTTTGTTTTGATAAACATGGGTTTTCTGTACAATATCAGTTAGTAGAATGAATCCAGTAGTTTCAAGCAAGGTAAAATGTATATTAATGTATACTTTGACAAATACAAAATGGCGGATTTCAGTTATTACCAAACGTCACCATTTTTTAACACCATCGAACTCAAAGTGGACCATATTCTTATGTTGTTTCAGTGACTTTTAGCAATAAATCACGCTACGTATCTTATTTTGTCAGTCACTATTTTTTTTTTAAATCATGGCTCTTTGAAGGAATTGTCACTAGTTATAATGAATTGATATTAAAGATAAATACTAAGAGAAGTTAATTATACCACCCCGTATCCATACAACGTGTTTTTCTAGACTTATTTATAGATCAAACATTGTACACGAAAATAGGTGACGCATTTGGCCGCCGTTGTCGAGTTGGTTGCTCAAGAAATATGGGTCAAAGTGAAGGATTCATAAAGAAATTCGAAACAAGCCAATTTTCATTATTTTGTAGAATATCTGAGGAAACATCTAAGGTATAAACTTTTTTTTTCGTTTTTTTAACTTTCACGAAATTCGGTATTGAATCCTTATATGCACGAAAATAGGTTACACTACTGTAATGATATTATTCATGAAATTGAAAATCAATCAATGAATAAATCTCATCTTAAGCGAGTACCTTAGGTTCAATCTGATTTTTGTGATCACTGTCAATTCCACTGTCTTCCATACTATCCATCTGTATAGAATGAATTTGTTTACAATGCGCAAAAGGATTAAATATTCAGAATTTTATATTGCCAGCCTTTTTCAGAAATTTCAACCGGAAGTCAAACGTCAACCATATTGCCAAAAGTATTGTGGGAGTTGTCTGTTTGCGCATGAGTGTCGTCAATAGTAACAACAGACGCCATTGCTGTTGCCAATGAAGCTTTCCACTTGGCTTTTTAAGAAAATACACATTAATTGTTTTCATAACTGTATTGATCTCTTCTAAACTATCATGCCACCTAAAGCTCCAGTTAAGGGCAAACAGGTAATTTGACATTTAACTTATTAATGTACTAGATCTAGGCTACTTAGAAAATATGACTTTTTCTAGTTGTGGAAACCTGGCAACTTCTTTGTTGAAGTTTTTTCTGTTAGTCAGTAGAGTAGAGCTGCCTGACTATGTATAAATGTCAGATTTAGTTAGCGACAATGACAGTGCCATCGATTTGAATTGACACTACCTCCTACTATAAATATAAATCTTTTTGTATGAATTGAAATCTCTTTATTACCGGTACTTTAATCTAGATTGTACTTTGTAGATCTATTTGCCTTAGTCTGTGGCAGTTTGGGTTAAGTTAGGCCTAAAAAAATTATGCTTAATGACTTTTTTTTTACAGAGAGAGGAGATTTATGAAAATAAATGTGTCATTTTCAGACTTTTTTTTTCACTTGTCCTCTTTTTTTCACTTGTCCTCTTTTTTTCACTTGTCCTGTTTGACATTAGCTTTGCCTTTGACTTTGAGGCTTTGTTAAATTTTCAATGATTTCGTACATCAAATGAAAAAATCTAAAATTATTTTTAATCTGATCAATTAGAGTGTTTCAACCGGTCCAGATATGAGTCGCAGAAGACCTACTCGTATAAGGGTGAGTGGTAGTGTGAAGAATACTCCTCTGTGCTAATCTGCTATAATGGCTTTCTGTCTAACAACCTTAGTACACATATAATTAATGTGTCTTTAGAAAAGAATAAAAGTTGCCACAAGTAATTTAAGATATCATTATTACCAATGATTTTGGTTATCATTTGTTAATTTGAATACCACTTAAATTATCAAAAATATTCATAAACGTTTGTTAAATTCTTTATTGAAAAAACCACAAATTACTTGTACGTACTTTTATTCTGTTTTAAAACTAAGATGTTTTCTAATAAATGTTATTGTAACCCATCAGATTAACCAAAACCTTGCTTCAATCTCTATTTCTCTAATAGCATGCTGCTGGAAAGAAATCTAAACTTTCAACAAGGCAAAATACTATGAGCAAAGGTCCTAATTTAAAGGTACTTTGTTGCTGTTCAATTTTAGTTGTTGCAGTTAAATTATAGTGTTATTGAAATTATTTTACTAGTTTTAGTAATCTTGCTTAAGCTTATAATTTTTGTCAATTATAAGTTAATAATTATTGTTTTACCCTGCTTTTCCCTTAGTGTACAAGTGTCAATTTTTTTTCACAGTCCTAAATTCTCTAAAAACAATATAGAGACTATGAAACCTACTGTATGATTAGATTCATAGGCAACTTCGGCTGTATGTGATCTGAAAGTTAGATGCATTTAACATGCATTGACCTGCATACTCAATCTTACAATCTTTCAAACCATAATTTGAATGTTGTTTTGTGGGTAAATTACTTTTCATTTTTATTCTTTTGATGTTTCCTTTTAATTCTTTGATGTTGACTTTTTCAATTTGTTGATTAATTTTTCAATTAAAAATATATTTATTTTTCAACAAAAATTTTTGTATTTCAATTTATAATTTCATATCAATACATAATTTATTTGATTTACTCAGTATAATTTTATATTCTTTCACACTTTCATTATCAGAAATATTTTAACACTTTAAAATAAATATTCTCAACAATTGCAACAAAACAAGTGTTAAGATTATGGACTAATATTATGATGTATTATAGGAAGGGGATGATATGACTGATATCGGAGATGGTACTGATGCTGATGATTGGACCCAGGTTAGTACTTTTACTGTATATCTTAATAAATCACAATTTGATTTTCTGCTTCATTGGGAGTGACCTACCGTATCTCAATCCTTTGAACAATATTACTAGCATTGTACTCTAAAGTTACTCTAGATCTTTTTGAAATGTGAGATTATTGCTGCTAAGATTCTTAAATTGAAAAGTTTCTGTTTTCAGACCAAAACTATGGAGAAGCCTGCAGATCAGCTTCAACTTTCAGAACAGGTAAAAAAACCTTATTTTATCTTCTGAGATATATTGTACAATACAGGTAATTCTATAATATAATTAATTTTCTTCATTAACTTGGAGTGAATTGTGAACTACAATTAATATTTCTGTGTATTTCCACTAGGATTTAAAAGAAGAATTTACCAGGATTCTGACCGCTAATAATCCTCATGCTCCACAGAATATTGTTAGATACAGTTTTAAGGTAATAATCTTTTAGTAATATATTTAAAGCATCATTGTTAAATCAAAAGTACTTTAATAAATAGTATACTTCTTTACAGTGTTCATTCAATTGTTACTTGTGCATTGTACCTGAAAACACAACAATTTATTACTGTTTTAGCTTATATTTGGTAAGAAAATGCATGATTCAGAGATGATAATCTAAAGATCAATTTGAATCTTTCATCAAAAAGATCAAGTTTCATTTCATGTCCATGTTATTTTAAAGAAAAATTGTATGTTTTATAGGAGAAACAATATAAACAAACATCAAGTGTAGATCAGTTAGCTATACATTTCTCTCTTGATGGTAATATGTTACATCGTGATTCTGATGAGGCCAAGAGACAAAAAGGAAAACTAGGATTACCTGAAGGTAAGAGACGTTAATAAAAAATTGATATTTTAGTCACCCAGGGACAATGTAGTGAGTCAAATTTAAATAATGAGCTAATACACTCCTAGCCTACATATGTTTACAAACTGTTCAGTCTAGGGTTTATTATTACTAAAGATATGTAAAAATTTTGAAAAGTAAGCTGAAAGGGACAGGTTCACCATCTGTTTGACCAATCAGACCTTAGTCTCAGAAACAGGAATTTTTTTAGCTATAACTATTTTTTCTTCAATAGTATTCACAGGTCACCATCAAAATTTGAGACTTTAAATCCGTGTGTGTCCAGTATTATTGACATTTCGTAGTTAAAATGATGACTCCTCGCCAAGTGAAAGTGAAATTTCTAGGTTGAGGTATATTTGAATGGATTGGATTTCAAATTCTGATTATTGGAAGCAATCAAATACAAATTTGTTGTATAGTAATCTTTTTGATTTATTATTTTAGCTGCTAGTGAACCTGCCATCAGTGAATCAGGAGAAGGAGCAGCAGAAGAAGCTGAAGGAGAAAAACAGGAGGTTAGCTCATATTTTTGATTGTTCCTTTCTTATGTCAAGAAGCATCTATTTGGAAATTTCTTTTCCTTTTCTGTCATGAACTATCAAATTGATGAAGGAAAGCACCATCTTTTACAAAGATAACTACTTCAGAGAATCTCTCCCCAGCTAGTCCATGGCCAATCCTCTTGGCATTGATATTTCCTGAATGATCCGTATCCATAACAGCTGGGTAGACAATGAGGAAAGATAGAGAATAGAAAGTAAAACTTATCCTGATGTCTCAGAATTACCTTAGAATGCTTAGGTATTCAATTAGGAATTCATTTTTATTTTAGACCACTGAAGAAAGAGCTGATGATGCTGCTACACCTGCTCCAACAGAAAAACGTAAACTAACCAATCAATTTAATTATAGTGAGAGAGCATCACAAACTTACAACAATCCTTACAGGGTATGTTTATAAATATTTCAGTTTCTATATCCATCAGATTAATGGCAATTAAGCTTAAATGAAGATAATTATATTTTGCACAATGACTTCCCAGTTTCAGATTTTGCTCTCCCTTTACACAACAAATTATCTCACTTGACAAACTAAAGTTGCAGTAAATTAACTCCCTTGATACAGGAAATTAACTCCCTTATGGTTATTGACTTTTTCAGGAACGAGGTACTGCTACTGAACCTCCCCCAAGAGCTACATATTCAGGAAATGTTACACAATGGGAAATATTTGATGCCTATTCTGAAGATTTTGAAAAACAGGTATGATTGAATATATCTTTAAAAAGGTCAGTTGTCTGAAGATCGCATAGCGTAAAACTCTTGAGTAACAACATGTTCCAAATTCTGTTTTAATATTTCTATATTAAAGTAAATGTTTTTCTGTAGGAGAAATCTAAAGAGAAGAAAGTTGTACCTGGTAGAAAAGAAGAAGATAAATCACGTAAAAAGTTAACTATTACAGAAACACAGGTAATTTCATAAAATGTGGCTATAGGAGAATCTTAAGTCTGCGATGGACCAAATTGCTCAGATTATTTATTTTTGTTTTTTTTTAGTAAATAATATTTTATTCATAATAAATAGATTAGGAAACAGGCTTTCACCTATATGACCCTTTTCCTTAAGATTATTCTCAGTACTCCAAATTATTACAACTTTATAGTTTTTATAACTTAACTGCCCTGTTTCTGGGATTATAAACATTTTTTTTTATGAAAATGTAAAGTGATTATATGAAAATGTGCAAATAAGTAGCATATTAGCTATATTTCAAATAGTGCCAAAAAGCAATATAAGTTAGAAAGGAGAGTTACGAAATACATGAATTATAAATTTTATTGCAGAGTGATGATATATCTCGTGTATCTGTAGCCAGTAAAATTGTCGAAAGAATGGTCAATCAAAATACTTATGATGATGTAGCACAAGGTAATGCAGTTATTTACAACTTTGTTTATGCTCAAGTCAACATAAATTTGAAATGTATGAATACACACTTAGATTAAATTTCTAATTTACCAAATTCCTAATCATCAAATTGAATCAACATATTATAATTTTTTACATAATTTTTGGTTTTAGATTTTCGATATTGGGAAGATGTATCTGATGATTACAGAGAACAGGAAGGAACATTATTACCATTATGGAGATTTGCTCATGATAAAGCAAAGAAACTAGCTGTTACCTCAATTTGTTGGAATCCTAAATATAATGATTTATTTGCTGCTTCTTTTGGATCATGTATGTATTTCTACTAAATCCGAAGTACTAATAGTGCACTTTATAAAAGTAGGTTCTTAAAAGATGAGCTGCAGGAAGATTAAAGTTCAAGTTATAAGTCTCAAACTAATAGAAATGAATAGGAAATGAAAAATTCAACTATATCATATTACATTTTATGCCAAACTCAATTTTTCAATAAAGTTTTTCATATTCTTTTTTCATTTCAGATGACTTTATGAAACAAGGAACTGGATTAATTCTATTTCACTCATTAAAGAATCCCTCCTATCCAGAATTAGTCTATGAAACAGATAGTGGAGTAATGTGTCTAGATGTTCATCCAGAACATCCTTATCAAATAGCAGCTGGGTTTTATGATGGTAGTGTGGCTGTGTTCAATGCTGTAGAGAAGAAAGATGGCCCATTACACAGATGTACAGCTAAAAATGGTAAACATACAGATCCAGTATGGCAGGTCAGATGGCAGAAAGATGATTCAGACAATAATATGAATTTCTTCTCCATTTCTTCAGATGGTAGAATCGTTCATTGGACTATTGTTAAGGTAAGTTTAAAAAGAGTAAATATGGAGGAAGAGAAGATAACTTTGTATCATAATATATCATTAAGAATTTATTTTCACTTGTAATAGAAAATTTCAGTCTATAAGAATTTGTGCTTACTTTGACCTATTGATATTGCAGAATGAAATGATATATCAAGATGTTATTAAATTAGTTATACCTGATGTATCTGCTGAAGGTCCTGATGGTATTAAAGTACCTACATTAGGTAAGTATATCTACTGTGACTGTATATTGGGTCACACGTATTCTATTATAAATTACTTTCCTGTAATGATAATATAAATCTGAATTTCGAAATTGATTGATAAATGCAAATGATGTCTATAAAGAAAGAAATAAACACCATGGGTTCAAAAAGATCCTTTCCACAAGCTAAAGATCTTACCCAGATTTTCTGTACCCATTTACAGCAGTCAACTAAGATAATGAGGAAAGAAGACTTTCACATGCCAAACGAGTTTAGAGGCTTCCAAAACCATTTGTTTGACATAACCTAGCAAATGATGTTATGTTAAGTTACTGACAGACTATGCTACAGAGTTTGTGTCTATGTTGAAATTATTGCCTGAAATGGGTGGCACATATGACTATTTCCTTCACAGCTATATGCCTTCTCAGTATAATTAATGACCTAATGTGATGTCTTATGTTCAATATTTCTATTCAAGGTTGTGGTACTGCTTTCGACTTCCACAAACAGAAAGACTACCTATTTTTAGTCGGTTCAGAAGAAGGAAAAGTTCATGTTTGTTCTAAAGCCTACACCAGTCATTTCATAGACTCAATAGATGCCCACAATATGGCTGTGTATAAAGTAGCATGGAATTATTACCATAGTAAATTATTTATAACCTGTAGTGCTGATTGGAATGTTAAAATCTGGGAAATGAGTAATAAAATTGATAACAAAGATAATTCAGAAACTTCTACTAGGTAAGACCTTCATCAATTTTTATACAATACAATCAAATGAACTCCAAAAAGTGATGCTAATCCTTATTACACTTATTAAGAGTATGGTGTTTTTAGATTTCAAAAGCACACATTTAAGTACAATACAATCTGGTAACAAAAAAAACAATGCTATTTGTCACTATAACATGTTTGAGTTTCTTTTCATGTTTCTGCTAGGTGTTCTGTATATATGCATTTCTTTTCCAAAATTGACTGTTTCACTCAAATGTAAATGAACAATTTTTTCAGGAAAGCTTTGTTTTCATTTGATTTGAATAACTCTGTTGGTGATGTTGCCTGGGCACCTTACTCTTCTACAGTATTTGCTGCTGTCACAGCTGATGGAAAGGTAATGTTTTATGAACATATTTATATCACAATCAGTATTAATCAAACCCTTTAGATATTCTTAAAAATCAAAATATCAGCATACTGTGACTTACAATGGCTGTGTAGGTCGATTTATATCAAATCTTATATATTGATATTGCTCTTAAGAAAAGAAAAACAAAAGGCAATTATTAAAAAAGTTTGAAAATCAGACTGTTTTTTTCAGTTAATTGATGTATGATTTTTCTCATATTTCTAAGAAAGGTATTGACTTCCAAAGTGGACAAAATCTGTAGATATATGTTCAACTGCAAAAAGGATTATGTAGCACAGCTCTCGTTATTGTTAGACAAGCCTGCACAGACACTTCAATATTCTTGTTACTTGTTTCTTAATTTTCCAATCAATTATATTTTTCAGGTGTATGTATATGATTTGAATGTTAATAAATATGAACCTATCTGTGAACAAATGGTAGCTCAGAAAAAGAAAACTAAGTTAACTCATATAGAATTTAATCCTATACATCCAATAATTATAGTAGGAGATGATAGAGGCAATGTTACTAGTTTAAAATTATCACCTAATCTTCGTAAAGTACCAAAGGTAAGTTAATGGCATTTATCGTCCCTCATGTTGGGGATTGACTTTTATACAAAGGGTCATTTATTAACATTAACAAATGACGTAAACAACATTATGTAAAACAAGTACAAAATTGTATTTGTTATTTATTGAGCGAATTACATATTTATGCAAGTCTGGGCACATGACCCATAACCTTTGAAAACGTCTAAGGAACCTTACCGAAATGCATACATCAATTTCCATTACCCTTATCTTTTAAACAAACCACTTCACACTATGTATCTTTGCATTATTTACTTTGAAATGATACAGGAATATTATTCAAAATATTGATTTCATATTCTTTGTAGGAGAAGAAAGGACAACCACCAATGGACGCAGCAGCAAGACAACAGTTTGAACTCAACAAATTAGAAAAGATCTTATCCATGGTTCGTGAATCTACTGAGGCAAATGCTAGTTAAATTTAATTAGTTGTTCCATTGATACAAGACATTGGACAGTTTATCAGAATACTTAACTCTCAGTTTCTTTACAATTAAACAACATAGAATTTTATGAACAATTATAATGGAATCTTCCATGTTTGTTATTTGAAGTACAAAATACTATGCTATTGAAAATATGCACTACACTTATGTCTCCTTTAACATGAAATATAAGACACAATGTAACCAGAATCATATCATCTGCTATATATCATTGTATATATCAGGTCATTGTTTTGTAATTGTTTTAGGTATTGTTATTTAATCAAGTTGATTCTGTGATGTCATTTTATCATTATTTATTACTGTATAAAATAAATTTCTAGACTGGCCATAAACATTTTATTTGGCGTTTTATGAGCAATCAAGATGAAAATGGTACAAATTTCATTAACATTCCATTGGATAATGTCAGGTTTTCTCTGGTTGAATAACAGAATCCTAAAACTGTGCCTCAACGCTTATTCATTCTCCTTGAAATAATAAGGTTCTGCAATTACACAAACATACAGAGTAGACTTGGAAAAACAACTTGCTGTCTGGATGGGATAAGATACTGAAGCAGTGTGTCAGGCTGTGCTCAATGAACATCTCTTACAAGTAAAGTTCAAATAGAAGAAGAATTGTTGACAAATAGCAATATACTTGAGCGATTTCACAATATCCATTAAATCAATATTGCACAAGATGAAGATATGAAACAAAAGTGGAGAGTATAAAGATAAAAATCTAAAATAGGCATTTGGATTGCTAAATTTCTTTCAATTAATGCTATGAATCAGCATTTTTATACGCCTACATGAAATGGGGGGCGTATGTTGTCGTCCGTCCACAAGGCACAATTCTTGATTGATTTTGAGGAAACTTGGTTTGGTTGTTTGTAGAAATGAAATGAATGGAGTTTTACGTCCTACTTTTCTGCACCTTGTGGGCTAATGAAGACGGGCAACGCCATGCAGGGTGCCATGAGGGAAATTTTGCCAGGACTTGGTAATATTCAGTATCGCCTCAAAAAGTTCAAAAGAAGTGTATATCTGAAAGTTGAATATATCATACTGGTGATTGTTACTGTACTGCCAACTATTTTTATTTAAAATCAAAGCTGCCAGTGGGCGTATATTACCTTGACTGGCAAGCTATCTTTCTACTATTACTAACCCTGGAAGAGTAAATGCACAAACATATATGAGATTATATTTACTTTATTGGATCATTCATATTTGGATATTTGGGATTTTCAATGACACCTTTTCCAAACTTAAATTCTAAAAATTCTTTGACATTATTAGGAGCTGGAGATTCAATACCTAGAAATGATATTGATGTTAATGGTTTCAAAAATCTTTCTGGAAATTCTGTGTCCTGTCTATGGGTTTTCATCCATGTATCCTTTGTCATAACTCCATCCCGAGAATAAAATGGAAACATGTCTACATGAAGTCTATTACTTTCACTATATTGCACTCGGAAGAAATCTCCTTCTATTGCCTTTTCCCATAAGAAATCACCTTCATCTATGAATGACTTTTTGGAAACTTTTTGAAACTGTTCACATTTTGATAGATCATCTTTATAAAGTCCAATGTCTATATCATAGTCCCATGGAATAATATTACCTTGCCTCACAGCACCCAGTAGACTACCTCCTTCCAGCCAAAATCTGACTTTACATTTAGTCAACACATTCAAGACGTGTTGATAAGTTTGTTTCAATGCACGAAGACAACATGGTGGGGTCCATCGTCCTTGATATAAATATTCCGGCATATCATTGACAACAGTATCAAAACATCTAGTAGTCTCTTTAGAACAACCATACCATTCTTTTCTTCTCTCTCCATATTTGACTAATTTAATACCCAGAGATTTATACATTGCCTTTTGTCTTAACTCCTCATATTTCTTATGTTTCCATTTTTCATGTGGATCTTGAAAGATCTCTTTCAAAATGTTTAATCTCATTTTGTCATACAGTTTGGTTTTAAAATTTGTAAGTGAATTTTGGATATAAAATGAGGAAAAAATCGGCCTTGTAAAAGGATGTGAAAATTTGAAAAGAGTCTCACTTTTTGTTAAAATTGCATGATTTCCTATCACTATATCACAATTAGTTTGATCACTATCAGAATACACTAAGAACCATTTTTTAACATCAAATTTTAAAATATTACACATTAATCTTTCATTAGCTAAAGGAATTGCCAATGAATTATAAACATCTGATAATTGTTGCATGGCATTAGTTATATCACTGAAACTAGAAATCATGGTAGAGTCTGGAAGTAAGAGAACAAACTCTGAATCAATCACTTGTTCTGGCCGAGAATTTGTTAAAGGTGTAAACAGATGTGGCTCCAATGAGATGACATGAAATCTAGAAGATTCTTTTAAACCTATTGGAGGATATGGAAGATTATCACCAATAACAACAACATTTAGTTCTTCAGAAAGTTCCAGTAAAAGTTTAACTGTTTCTGCTATGTTATTTTTATGATCTTCAAATTCTCTGAGAATCACAGTAAGTTTGTATTTTTTATCAAGAATAATGTTGTCGGAAACTGGACATGGCTGTAGTTGAGTATTTTGAAGAAAGAAAAGATAACATATAGTAAGTATATTCAATAGAAAAAAAGAAACTACTATGAAATATCTGCTTCTCATATCAATTATGCTCCAGGAAAACTAATCTACAAAATATAAACAAAAAACTCGTTATAAAAATCATATATAACCTTGCATAACTGCCAATAATATACTTTTCTCAAATACATCTATTAGAAAATATTGATATTTTACTGAAATACAATCCTTATGTGCACGAATATAGGTTACACCAGTGTAATATATGGTGTACTGTATAGAGTGCTTGTACTTTTTTTCAACTTTGTGTACTCAATGGTAGGTTACCTAACACAATGGTTAGCGCAGTAGACAGTAGACATTAATGCATTTGTTTAAATTGAATATTACTGATTTTTTTCATATATTTTATATGAATACAATACAACACAAATTAAGTCAGAATATTTCGAACTAACAACTTGCTGTGTGTATGTTATTCTTCCTTCTCCATTTTGAATATTTGTAGTTGAAAAGAACTCAGCACCCATTTAAGTATACATTAAAATATATTAACGTACTGCTTTGAATAGTAACACCAACAGAATTAGGTTAAAGATTGCTTTTGTTTAAAGTGTTTATTCTATGTTTACATCAAGAAAACCGGAAATGAAAAATATAGGCCATGTTCGGATTTGAACAAATTGTTCCTCATTTTATTGCTTTCCTGAAACGAATTCTGGCAATGAAATTTATCAACAAAGGAGACAGCATGGACATATAAGGTGGATGACTAGATATCAATATACATTTGAGGTATTAGTAGTAGTACTGATATATTTTTTCAATCACAAAACACAGATTCGAATACTTTATAGAATGCGTTGCGTATAATAAAGGCGGGATAAATTTTATTTCAGAAGCGGTAAAATCAAAACAAAATGGAAACACAGAACTTCAAAGATGAAAAAGGCAATGATACAACGACTACTGTTGACAAATGCAGTTCGGTTGAAGAAGGGGTCCGAATGAAACTATTTAGGGAGATCATTGAAAGAGTTGTCAAATTGTGTATATCGTCAGCAAGGTGAGAAACCTTTGTCTTATAATCTACTTGGATGGAGTACGTTTATTATGTAGGCCCATAGGCTAATCCGAAGTAATTAGACCATACTCTCACTATCAGGTTGTCAGTTTCTAAACAGTAGACCTATTGCCATTGGTAGTCTTATTATAATGGCTTTGTGTTGATGAATTTTCCTCTGTCACTCTGCTTTGTTACACTTGTAAGTGAGAGAGACAAAGGAGTTAAGAAGTTTTAGAACTGTATGATGTAGTCATTTTAAAGTAATAGTAGGCCTAATAGATCTATTGATTATGGTACTATAGACTGTAGTCACAGTCATCAAACAACAATCTAAGAATTCTGTTGACTCAGTTTCACTACATTTTCTTTCAAAGCTAGCTTTTTTATTTTTGATATTGTTATTGAAGTGTTTCGGGATGCTTAAGCTTGTATGATTGTTTTGGTTGTTGTAGATTTAAAAAGTTTGCTTTGCATTTGAAACCAATTTATAAGAAAGATCCAGAAAATTTTAGGAAACTTCATCAAAAATTCATTGAACAGTTTAAAGAACACATATTAGTAAGTACAATGAGAGTCTGCTTTTTCTGATTTATGATTTTTTGTTAAGATAAAGTTTTGGTTTCCAAGTAACAGTACAACAAACTGTTGTAGCTTAACTTGTGAAAGCTTGAGTATTTGGTTATGTGGAACAAATTGTAACAAAAATCCATATACATGTAAATGCAAAAGCTTCTATGAAAGAGTAATATCAAGAGGTTTTGTAGGATTACTCCTACTCCTTACAAAGTTGTTATCCTTGTAAAATTTGGTTATTTCTTTTCCTTCATTTTTAATTGATAATATTAATGATAAGGGCAGGTTTTTACAGAGTTACCTCTTCTGTTTTAGAACTCTTTATTATTAATCATTTAATTATATGTTTTTTGTAGGCAGAAATGGAGTGTATGTATAAAGAAGAAAATATAGCCCAAGTGTTAAATGAAATTGATAGATTGAGTGAAGAGTCTGATAACAATGTTACAGCATGGTAAATAGTCAATATTGTCAAATTTAAAGTTATTTTCCCTTTTATCTTATCCTTTCCAGATAAACAGCATGTTTCTAATTACATGTATATAAATGTTACTCACTTAAGCTTTATTTCATATACTTAATTATTCAAAAAAAAATTCTAGACTAGCAAGTGTTCATGATCTGTTTAATTGTAATTGAACAATGATTTAACTCAATTAAAGATATCTTCATCATTTTTTAGAATGGCTATCCCATGGCACAGTTCAAAACTGAAAATGAGCTCTTGTTATAGCTACTTACATTTGCTATTTCCTTTCATTCTATTAGGAGACCTACAGGTGAACCAGAGTTAGATATTGAAGCCCATCTTCTATCAGTTAAAACCAAACAACACAATCAGTTTCAAGAACTTGTCAAATCACTAGAATCTCAGAATAGATTGTTACAAAATGCCTTAAAACCAAAGCAGAAGAAAATATTAGAGACAAGTGATAAAATTGAAGAAAAATATAATAGATATAAAGAGGTAAGAAAAAAGTCATCTCATTGTTGGGTTTACAAGCTGATGGAACTGGGATATTTTTATCATTAAACTTCTGAGTTAAAAAACATTGTTTATTTTATACAAATGGAGAAAGTTTGGCTTGCAGACGATGTCATGTGACTTTCATCTTCATGATACTGATTTCTTTATATTGTTCTGTTTATTTCAGCTGTCAGTTGTTTTAAGTGAAAGTAGATTGAGACCATTAGAAGAGTTGGCTATGAACATTTCTATTTAAATTCCACTTTATTTACATTTACATATGTACAAATGAATAGCTTTACTTTTATCACAGATAGACCTAAATAGTTTTCTGCCAGTGTTGTAAAATTGAAAATACTATAGTTGACTTAAAAGAATATGATATCATATGAGGATGTGTTTTTATACTAATCAAAAGAAGGGTGTGGATTTAAAATGTAATATATTCAGAACTGTTGAAAGCAGGGCTGTTGATTTTCCTGTATATGCCAGACATGACCGACAGGGAAGCTCAAATGTCTAGACAGTCAATATCCTCTATCGGAAATCAAGTAGAGGTTAGCCATTACATGTCAGTCATCGGGTGATCTAAATTATAGTCATAAACCTCTAATATTTTTTGATTCACATTTCTATGTTTCTATGGACTAGATGGGCTGCTATTCGGATCTGCAAAAACTTAAGAAGCATGTCTCTGATGTTTCTCTCAAAGGTCAAAAGATTTGTCACCTAATTATCAGGGTGCAGTTATAACTTTTTTTGGCACTATCCTATCTTCTGTCTGCAGTTCCTGTTCTAGAAAAACTAGATTATGACCCACTATTGCTAAAACCATTTACCTCTAATAGAATTTGAGATTGTGTCAGTGACATTATAATCTGGTCAGGTATGTTTGTAATTACAGAAATCACACATATATGTGATAATCACAAAATAGTAATTGAAAAAAAAATATATTTTGTTTCTATACATAGTTTTATACCAAAAATAAAAAAAAGATTTTATGAGCATGAAATATTCCATATCAATTCTGACGTCAAATCTCAAAATAGCATGAAGAGCTTGAAAAGAAATTGACTGCCATAATCTTTTTTGTAAAAGCAGATTTCTTTAATCAGTCTTTATATTTCTATCAGGTGTTTACTATTTTTGGCATTAATTCTTATTTTCATTAAATGATCTTCATAATGAATAGTTTTAATATGAAATCATTACATACATATAAAATAATTCATGATTATAATATATTTAGATGGCAAGAAAAAACTTCTACATGAGTATAGTATATATATATATAGTATAGTAAATCTGGGGTAGATCATGGTCACTTTGCACAGGATCACATAAAAGCTACCTGAGAGGAAGAAAATTCTACTTATTTCATCATGCAGAAAATTTCAAAGAGAATAATATAAAGCAATTTTATACATGAAGAAATTTGATAAAATGAAAGGCTATATTAGTAGTAAGATGTATTATAAAACCATTAGTTTAATGAATTATCATCATTCAAAAATACATGATATAAAAATTATATATTTACAAACTATATTATCAGGACTTGCCCTTTAAGTAGAGTGATGAAGTGTTTGCCTTGAAAGTAAATTTCAAGAGGTTGTTTATCAAATTCCTTCTTTCATTCCACAATTTAGGGCAAGGCCTGGTATTGTCATGCTTTTTCTATGCTTTGTTGTAACAATAAAATTTTTGAAAATTAGAAACCTTTTAAATATTTCTTATATGAAAATACAAATGCTCAATGTTTGTTATACCAGGTACCAAGACTCAATTTCAGGAATTCTTGTCTCTATTTATAATGAAAATCTGATTTGTTCAAATGCTTTTAAATAAGAATGTACTGGGTAATTGTCTTCAGAAGAAGCTGTTGTAACATCATTGTTAATAACTGCATTAGGAAAAGTGGCATGGATAGCGGAATTGAGCTCTATCCACAGACAAAATAAATTCAATTTTAATAATAAAATTCAGGATATAAATATTATAGAAAATTGTACAGCAGATCCATATAACTAAGTACAAGGTAACTACTAGCTACTACTTTCTAAAAGTTTTCAAAATGGTGTACATATGTGGGGCCTTCTAATTTATTGAGTGATGAGCAGGCTTTATCTACATTACTGGTCATTGGTGGTGGTCCACAACTAAACACACCTACTTGAGGTACCTGAAATAAATATAATTATATATTTGACAATATTTTGTTACTACTAATTATAAATTTACATCATTCATTTAAATCAGCAATGGAAATTAATATCTGTTTCAAAATCAGTTGTTCTATTAATGTGAACTTCTCGCTTGCCAATGTCACTTCCAACTTCATTAATATTGGTATTAACTACAACTTATAATTATAAATAGTAAATTTATTATATAGAGATCTTACCCCATCATGTTCATGTGCTAAAGATAAAAGGAAATCTTGAAACTTGGGTCGTCCAAAATGAGTTGTCGCTCTCAATCCAGTAAATAAACTTTGCCCAGCCACTTTCTGGAAATGCCTTTCACAAATATACTGAAATGGAAGAATTTATAGTTATGTGTTGATTGACTTTGTTCCATTAGTTATTGTTATTTCATATATGATAATATAAAAAAAAATCACTTCTAAGCAATTCTATAACAATGACTGTTAGCCTGTGTTTCTATGTTTCTATATTCATTAACTAAGAAAAATTTTTGGCCACCTTGAATTGTCAGTATAAATTCAAGATTGTGAAGTCCTTGAACACAAAATGAACAATTTTAAATGGTGATAGTTCCTAATTATTCAAAAGGGATGGAATTTAATGCAGGAAAATACAACAGATTACTGAAATTGAGGTTTATAATTTAGAAAACAACATTCAGACTACATGTATATTCATATAAATCATATTTCGCATAATAGTAAACTTTCATGATTTTTTCAAACATAAAATAGATTTATTGATTCTTACCAACATAGTGGTTCGTAAGTCAAATTTTTGTTGAAATTGGGTAATGAATATATGAACTGAAACCAAATTATTGACATCTCCTAATTCTACTTCTCTAATAATATCAGTCATCCATTCAAAACTCTTCTGTGTTCTCGTTACCCACAAGAAATAAACCTGAAATATACAGAGAGGACATATTATGTAAGCTGTATAAAGTTTATCTGATGATGCATTAAATCATGATTCAATTTGATGTGTGAAAAAAAACATTGTAATGTTGTCAAATAATTTGTAGTAACATTCTATAATCATGTTAAAAAACATTTGTGGATACTAAGGTTTACATTTATTCTTGCAAGGGAATGTTTCACATGTTTCCAATCATTCTTGTTAGTAAAAGTTTCATCAAATTCATGTATTTGTTTTACCTTTTGGCAAGGGAATTTCACTTTCATCTTAGATTTTTGTACCAAATCTTTAAGAATGGAAGCAAATGGAGTGACACCAATTCCGCCACCTACTAATACAGCCACAGGGTATCTATACCAATCTTGATGTCCTTCACCAAATGGACCATCCAAATATAACTACAAAACAAACAAATATCTGAAGATGAGAGGTTTTGAAAACACTACTTTTAGCTTTTGAAATCTTATTCTATTTGGGGTTTTGAATCTTGGTTCCTCACTGCATACGACTTGGCCATTTAAGTGCCCTTTGTAGGGTCATATATACACAAATTAACACATTGCATGTACTGAATAATTCTATATAAATAAATAAGGTGATTGATGAATGAAATACTGATTTGCCAAATATTAAAAATGTTATTTATAGGGGTCACAGAGATACAGAATCATAACAAGATAAACACTCAAAAATTCAATATATCTACCTTTGGGAAGCCTTTCTCACTAACAATGTTATTTATGTCATAAACTCTCCTGATATTGGTAGTCCAAGGTCCAACGGCTCGGATATGTAAACTAAGATTCTCTTCTTGTGGAGCTGATGTCAAGGTAAAAGGATGGTATTCACTCTGTCCAAGATCTAAACAGGCTATTCTCACCCATTGTCCAGATTTGTAGTCAAAATTCAGTGGTCTTTTAAATACCAAATTAGTCACGCCTGTAATAGAATGAAATATGATATGTAAACTAGGCGTTATCTCTATCCACTTTTCAATCAAAATTCAGGTACTCCTAGAACAGTATTACATTTCTGTGATTATATTTAGTCCTCAACTAACTAAAATTTTGTCACAATTTTATTTTTTGTATGTATATCAATATTTATTGATGATCAGACTATATTCAATCAATAAACAGCATTAAGGGTTATCAAAAAAAATGCTTATCATTTGATTATATTCTTTTTGGAATTGATAGTCTAGTATGTTAAATAAATCTTTAATGTAATATAAATGTGTCAAATAGTACCGTATAAAAAATCTTCTATTTCAATAAAGCTTATCACATTAATAAATTGATGGATTTTTTTTCAGAAGGGAAGAGTCCTTATATGTGGAGTATTGCTTTGCATGAGATGATTATACAATCTTTTATCTAAAGCATTGTCAATGCTTGTTTGATAAACCTTACTTACCAGATGGTAATATTTCAGCCTTTTTCACAACGATTTCGACTTTATTTCTACTCAAACTGACCATTTTATCCAATACAAAGACTACTAAGGGTCCCAAGAAGAAATACGGGAATAATGGATCTTGTACCAGACGTCCAATACCATGTAAAATGAGGAATATATACAGGAAAACGTAGAAATTGTGGGTAAACCAGAAGGCATTGAAAAGATGTCTTCGACCATATTCAGTAGCAAATACATACATAACAATTATTATTAATGTAAGAATTACTCCTGTGATACCTGAAAGAGATGAGAAAAGAAATTGTAGTAACAATATGTAAAGAAAGTAAATGGAAAAATCTTAATGATTTAAGTATTCTTAGAGGCATTACCAACGATAATTCTATATTTACCTGTCTGACTATATGTGGCAAGTCTAATAATAATTTTGTTTTGATGTGACTTTGGATGTTAGTTTAAAATATCGGAAGCTGTGATAACTTAGCTCGTTAGATGCTTGATTTCATACTGAACGTTCCAAAGTTTACAGATCGAGATTATATGTGCTGTTCAATTAAGTTGGATATCAGAATTTCCTAAATTGAGGCCAGCCTTAATTTCAATGCTCTATCTTGAGTTACATAACTTACCAGTGATAGTAGTAAAAGCCCAGTAGTGGAATGTAGCCAAGACATCAGTTCTGTAATCAAATATAGATTAAAATTATTCCAATATGGAAGGCGGAGTGGCTTTTTATTCAATGTTTTTCATTGCTATCTTCCAATTCTTTATTCTGTTTTATAAAGTTACTTATTTTGATAGCTCCAATGCATTTTGTGTATTTTCTTCCACATGGTGTAATTAGTTGATTTTCTGAATCAAGCCAAAATTTTGCAAATTTGTCCTGAGAAGCATAGTCAATAAAACAAAACTATACTTCATAAGGATATAAATTTGTGAAATTCAAGAAAATTATAAATTTCACTGTAGTATTTTATCCAACAAATGTTTCCAGTCTGTGGCAAATTACCAAGATGTCTATTGTACTATGCCAACTAAGAAATTGTAAGGATTAACTTGTAATCATCTTTTTTAAAAAAAAAAACAGTTCTAAATAAGCCTATACTTACGCTCTGAAATATTCTCTAAAATAACAGTTTAAATCAGATGAAGCTTGTGTACTGATATGAAACAGATTTATACCATGTCCAATTATATGCATTGCTGAAAAGGAAAAAGATGAATTGTAGATTTTATATGATAAATTATGATCAGTTTACTTTACAGAATATGATTCAATATATTATATGCCATGTTATCATAGCTGTCAGTTCTATTTCCAAAATTTTGGTCTTAACAAAACTATTTTTGAACCTAAAATAATGATAGTGTAGAATTATTTGGGAAGATAGATTTAGCCCCATCTAAAAGATATACATGCTAATATAATTTAATCTAAAATCTTGAAGTAATTAAGATTTGGTACAAACCTGTAAATATCAAAGCTAAGAGAGCTGTATATTTATGCATAGCATGAAATGCATCAAATGGAATAAAGCGATGTAGAAATGTCTCTCTGAAGAATGTTAGAGTGTTACGACTCATAGTCACTAGTAAACTAACATATAAAAACATTTGAACACTGGCAGCACCTCTAGTAACACTAACACCATAACCTGCTAATCTTCTTAATCCAGCATGTTCTCTTTCTATCGAATAATCTACAATATATATATTAATAAATGAATTAATGAATGATATTAAAACATAACAGTTCTTGGATGATAGGCTGTACCACAATCAGTTAAGAGCTGTGGAATGACATTTGTAATCATTTGTTTGATTACCACATGATAATAAAGGTTTCTAATCTTGATTGCAGAGATCGAAAATCTGGTGAACTTGAATAAGTTATCTTTCCTCATGATCCAGTGAACCCCAGCTGTAAATGGGTAGGGATAATCTTGGAAAAGTCAACGGCAAAAGGTTTGGCCATGGACCAGCTGGATCCTTGTTGTAAATCTGTAAAAAAATAGCTTTTCTTTCTCTTCTAGCTCTAAATAAAGCTTTCATGAATGAATGGTAAGGATTTTAGTTTCACCACCTGCATGCAGGAGTAGGTGTATTTGGTCGTAGTTCTCTTTGAAGTATCTTCAGTCATTTTAACACCTTACGCAACATTTTTTGTCAACTGAGACTAATTTTCAATCATGAAATGGTTATAAGGCGACAGGGATCTCAGGGATGGAAAATTATACGGGCTAAAACTACAATCATATAAACTTACAGTATGCTCTTTCAATAAAGATTCCTAATGTTACCAGATTAAAGAGAATAAACCAGAATATATGTAGTCTGTAATTTTCTATATATCTTGTTATTTCATAAATCTTAGTCTGAAACTTTCCCATTGGTATCTGCTTCTTGGTAGCTTCAATATGGATTTTAGATTCACGATTTCTACTTTGAGGGTGGAAAGTTTTATCTCTGAAACACAAGTTATCATGGTGTAAATCATCTTCATGGCAAACTGCATGACAGTAGGAAAGGTAGGATGTTAATTCACATTTCCTATTTGTATTTCATTTAATTTGAATTCATTTCCAACCAACGAAGAGACTGAACTTAAAACTAAGCTAATACGGTAATTTTTAATGTTTACTAGAGTAATACTAATATTACCTGTATTGATTAATAACTGTTTTCTTCCTCATTAATAAATTACTATTACCATTACCAGATTTCTTCTCAACTGTAATAAATAGTACAATATCTTTAACCAATTTATCCCCTTCACATTACTGATTATGATAAAATGTGGCATACTTTTTCCATTCCCAATCTGATTAAAATACCTGTTTTGTTTTTCTATGGATCAATCATTTTCTAACTATGGAACCCGAAAAACAGTAGACTGTATAGTTATACACTAGTTTCATAATTTGATTTTTTTTATTCTAGTTCAGGACTTACCTTTGTCAAAAGCTAAAGTAGCATTCTGTAAGATTTCTCCATGTTCTTCTGAGGCAAATATCTTTTTGAAGTCATCAAATGTCATAGTTTGTTTATTTGCTATACCTGCTTGTTCAAACATATGATCTAAGAATGTATCAACTCTTGAATCATCTAATGTAGCATCAGCCATATCCATCATAGATCTTAAAAATATAACATTGGAATAATTATCAAGCCTTTTATCTTGACTAACTCTGAATAAAATATTAGAGTTGCAGTGGCTTAGTGAGTAAGATGCTTGCTTGTTAACCGAAACATCTATGGTTCAATCTTGGCATAAGTCAGAATTATACCTTCTTATTCTTCAACCTTGTTTCTTTGTCAGTGAGGCAAGATGGAGAGGCTGACATGAAAAAATGTCTAGCTGTTTGGATGGTACTTAAAACTGAGACGACTGTGCATGTTAAAGATCTCTCAACGATCGTAAAAGAGAAAGCTAAAAGCTAGCAAAAGATTAAATTAATTAATTAATTAACATAATATTAAAGGGACAGATCCGACCATTATTTTAACAAAGCGTGCCTTCCTCTTAGAAATCAGAATTTTTTAGCTAAACTATTTTAGTAACAGTGTTAACAGCTCACGGTCGAAAATTGAATCTTCAAATCCATGTGTGTCCAGAACATTGAGTTATATAATAAGTTCTATTTTTCACTCTTTGGTCCAGAATTATCTGGGTTAGATATATATAGAAAAGACATATTATATAGAAACAGAAAGAGAAATTCCTACTTTGGGGTATTTTTGAAGTTCATTTCTAGTATTTCTGAAGAAATATTTTTCAAATATTTAAGACCCAAATCAAACTGCGAAAATAGTGAATCATCTGTTACTTTAATTCTGATATAGTATTTTTGTGATAGATTGACATCATGTTAATGTTAGCAATAGTTTTTAGGATTATCAAGTACCTTATCATTTTAGTAAAATCTCTTCTAGTTAATTCTCCTTTTCTTTTTAAATCATACATGTTAAATAATAGTTTGGCTTTATCTTCAGCTCCACCTATTCAGATAGACATAAATATATAAGTGGGATTTTGTTATTGAGTCCATGATTGTACAACAAACGTATCTTTGGCTACAATAATATTCAAAACAATTCAAGAGAGACATGTATACTGAGTACTATGTTTTGAAGACAAATTTCAGCATTTAGGCTTTGTTGAAGTTTACCTGTTTATTTCATGTGAACTTCAATATGCTGACTTTAGTTACAGGACCAAAATTTTCAACAACAACAAAAAACAGATAATATCTTAAAAGTTCATGTCAGTCATTGTTTGAAATAATTTCTTCTAAACTTATCAGGTAAAAATGGCAATATAAGTGTCTCCCTAAGCAAGAAATTTGATTCCTCTCCCTCTCCTCATTAAAATATTTTCCTCTTAATTGAATTACAAGAACTCACCGCTTGCCATGGTTACAAACATACTCAAAAATTCTTCAAATGATACAAAACCATCTTTACTTCTATCAACCAGTAAGAACATGTTTCTGACAAACAGACTGTCAGGCTGTAGACCTAAAGCTTCAGCAAACTCAGTTCTAGTTAATTTAATCTTTCTTATTTCATTGGCTGTTGTTAAATCTAAATTCTCAATACCAAGATCACTCAAAGCTGACTTGTTTTTGTTGAAAGCCTGGTAAAGAATATATTGTCATTCAATGAACACAACTCTATGGTTAAACACAATACATTAGAGTCGATTTTCTCATCTCAAATAATTCATAAAAACTTTTATTGGGTGAGATAAACTTTGAGTATTACAAAATAAAGAATAACAAGAGAAACAAAACAAAAGTTCATATTATTAAGATGTTCAGAGAAACTGAAATTATCAATGATATCCAAGTCAAACTTTTTGACAAGAATTAATCTATAAATCATTACATTACCTGTAAACAAATGACTTTGAAGAAAGTGTCCAATAATTTCTTCCTATCATCAAATGTGACAGCATCTTTCATAATGGTAGCTTCTGTAAACTCATGTCGTTCTCTATTTATACTTAAATCTTGTAAGAATTTCTCAATATTACCAACAATAGTTTGACGTTCACTTAACCCTATGAATCGGAGAATCTGAAGTAGAGACATCACAATATGGGTTATATTTTATCACAATAGGATTATAATGTTTTATCACAATAGGGGCTACAATATCTTATCACTATAGGCTTATACTGTTTTATCACAATAGGAACTACAATATCTTATCATTATAAGGGTTATAATGTTTCATCACAATAGGGTTTATAATATTTTATCACTAGGGGTTATAATATTTGATCACAATAGGGTTTATTATGTTTTATTACAATAGGGGTTAGAACACAAAATCACATCACTTTCGGGGTTAGAACATTTTATCTCAACAGGGGTTATAATGTTTTATCACAATAGGGGTTATAATTTTTTATCACAATGTGGATTATAATGTTTTATCTCAACAGGGGTTATAATATTTTATCACAACGGGCTACAATGTTTTATCACAATAGGGGTTATAATGTTTTATCACAACAGGGGTTATAATATTTTATCACTATAGGATTATAATATTTTATCACAATGGTGGATATTATCCTTATCTTTATAGGGATTATAAATATTTTATCACTATAGGATTATAATTTTTTATCACAATGGGGGTTATTATCTATATCTTTATAGGGGTTATAATATTTCATCAAAAAGGGGTAATAATGTTTTAACACAATAGAGGTTATAATGTTATATTACAATAGGAGTTATCATATTTTATCACAAAAGGGGTTATAATCATTTGTCAAAATAGGGGTTATAATGTTTTAACACAATAGGGGTTATAATATTTTATCACAAAAGGGGTTATAATGTTTTATCACAAAAGGTGTTATAATCATTTATCAAAATAGGGGTTAAAATGTTTTAACACAATAGTGGTTATAATGTTTTATCACAATAGGAGTTATAATGTTTTAACACAGTAGGGGTTATAATATTTTATCACTGTAGGATTATAATTTTTTATCACAATGGGGGTTATTATCTATATCTTTATAGGGGTTATAATATTTTATCAAAAAGGGATAATAATGTTTTAACACAATAGAGGTTATAATGTTATATTACAATAGGGGTTATAATATTTTATCACAAAAGGGGTTATAATCATTTATCAAAATAGGGGTTATGTTTTATCACAAAAGGGGTTATAATGTTTTTATCACAATAGGAGTTATAATGTTTTAACACAATAGGGGTTATAATGTTTTATCACAATAGGAGTTATAATGTTTTAACACAATAGGGGTTATAATGTTTTATCACAGTGTGGATTATAATGTTTTATCTCAACAGGGGTTATAATGTTTTATCACAATAGGGGTTATAATGTTTTATCACAGTGGGGGTTATAATATTTTATCACTATAGGATTATAATGTTTTATCACAATGGTGGACATTATCCTTATCTTTATAGGGATTATAATATTTTAACACTATAGGGATTATAATATTATATCACAATAGGGGTTTTAATATTTTATCACAAAAGGGGTTATAATGTTTTAACACAATAGGGGTTATAATATTTTATCACTATGGGGGTTATTATCTATATCTTTATAAGGGTTATAATATTTTAACACAATATGGGTTATAATATTTTATCAAAAAGGGATAACAATTTTTAACACAATAGAGGTTATAATGTTTTATAACAAAAGGTGTTATAATCATTTATCAAAATAGGGGTTAAAATGTTTGAACACAATAGGGGTTATAATGTTTTATCACAATAGGAGTTATATAATGTTTTAACACAGTGGGGGTTATAATATTTTATCACAAAAGGGGTTATAATGTTTGAACACAATAGGGGTTATAATGTTATATCACAAAAGGGGTTATAATGTTTTATAGAGGAGTCAACTACTGTACAATTATGGTTCTTGATTTTGTCATACTTTTGGTGATATTTTTGGTAAATGGAATTGTTTTGCTTGTACATATTTTCTATTGCACAGAATATAAAAAATAAGATACTGACCAGATCTGTTTCACCAGGAACTCTTACAGAAATCACAGACTGATCTTTATCATCTGATATTCTAATATGAACTCTGTCTGTACGTCGTAAATCAATTAATCTTAAAGTCTTGCCAGTTCTATCAGTTACCATTATTTTCTTACGGTTTCTATCTAATTCAACTTTAACATTCCTTTCACCACTTTTAATACCAACCCATTCAGTAGCTGTAATTAACATAAATACACATAACACTATAGATACACATAACACTATAAATACACATAACACTATAAATACACATAACACTATAAATACACATAACACTATAATAACACCATCAGTGCATATAAATGATAGATAAATACACATAACATTATCAGCATGTATATTCTACATAAATACACAAAACACCATCAGCACCAATGTATTAGAAAATTTTATAATCATCAGAGCATCAGGACAATGCTTCAGTGGTGACTCGTGATCTATTCCATGCAGCAGATATGCCTTTCATATTCAGATACAGGACACATTAGGACCGCTAGTATTGAAACTGTGCTTTCCTATATAGGACCCCAGGTATATCAACAAAGCAAGAGAACTCACAGGAGCAAGATGTCAAAAATGAAAATATTCTACACACTCCACTCATACCTAATAAGATCTTCACCTCTCATTGCCAACGAAAGACAATCCACAATATTTGTATTAACAGAAAAAAAGTTTTGGCACATACCAGAAAATTTATTGGGATCAGTTGTGTCACTTCTTGCTGGTCGACGTCTGTTAGCTTCAGCCATCTTCTTTTCTTTGCGTTTAGCCATAAATATCATGATACCAATGGTTACTATGTAAAGACAAATTGATATCATATGATGAATTGTACTTTTAACTGAGAGGGAAACAGTCACAAATTGAGAACAAAGAGAAAAGAAACTTCACAGAGTGTACATAAGAAAAACACCATTCATGTTTATGAATATTTTTTGAAGCTAGCTTGGTTCATCGGGAGCAGAAAGCACAGATAACAATGGGCTTGCTGTCAAATATGCCCAAAATCTTCACAAGTAATAAAAAAAGTTCACCTCAATAAGCATTTGATTGGTTATATAATTTTCTAAATATCATTCTTAACAATATTTTCAAGTTAAAATCTATTATAAAGCATTAAAAATAACAAAATTCGATGTATCAGATTGTAGATGAGATATAATCAAAGATGCAAAATATTAACAACATAAAACTCACATGGAACACATAGCCCTAGAGCTACAAATGTTAAGGCAAAAGATGCTTCACTTCCAGAAAAATAATCATAAGTTGATAAATCAACACATTCTTCATGTATACCATTATCTATAGCTGTTCTATTAAATGGTGCCATACAATTGCATTCTGCTATGGTATCATCTATAAATAGATAGCTGAGAGAATGAATATTTCAATAATGTTTTTTTTTGTGTCTTGTTGCTCTAAAGAAGACAAACAATCCCATGTAGTGTGCAATGATCGAAAATACATTAACAACCTTATTTCTAATAGCCCACTCTCTATAGCAAGTAAGAGCTTAATTCATTGTTAGATGCAAACAACTAGACCATCATGATTTCTCAATAAGAATTTATTAAAAAATATATCTACATTTCTGCTTGAATTGAAAAAGAGATCTCCAAATTAACAAGCAAGATTCAACTCAACTAAGCTCTCAGTGAGTTCAGAGAAAATTTTTTAGAAATTATTTTTTGCATCACCTGACAGCCTTTTTCAAGTTTTTTTTAAGTAATGTCCCAACATAAACTGAGATACAACCAGTCAGCCATCTTCCTTTTTGGCTGGAGTAAAACTTGAAATATACGTTTTGATTGATTTGGGATGGGGCTGAAAATTTGGGATCAATCTTAAGAGTACCATTTTCAACTTACTATTTCTACACAAGAAGACACTATTAGACATTTGATCAGCTCCAATATTCGTGGTATTATCAATTATATCTTTTAATGTTATTTGTTTGATTTCTTCTATTTCAGCATCCGAAAATATCCTACAAAATATTGACCTAGCATTAATACATTATTACAAACCACAAATCCTATATCAGATATATTTTACTAAGAAATTCAGCAAAAATATCAGCATATACATTCAAGTAACATAATTTCGTGATAACCTCTGGAAATGATTAATAATTTATATGTGCGACCTCGTGTGACCTCCGCATTTGCTTGTTTTGATAAACATGGGTTTTCTCTACAATATCAGCTAGTAGAATGAATCCAGTAGTTTCAAGCAAGGTAAAATGTATTAATGTATACTTTAACAAATACAAAATGGCGGATTTCAGTTATTACCAACTATCACAATTTTTTATCGTCCAAATTTCCTTATAGTCTCAAGCTGTAATCGGAATTCCAAGTGTCATCTGCTAGAATGTAGTCCAATGAACAAAGTCATGTGATCAGCTAGCGGATTCTGTATCAGCAGAAAATTTCTATGGAAAACAATGTGGGTTGTATTCTTATGTTGTTTCAGTGACTTTTAGCAATAAATCACTCTTACGTTTTACATATCTTATTTTGTCAATCACTGTTTTTTTTTAAATCATTGAAGGAATTGTCACTAGTTATAATGAATTGATATTAAAGATAAATACTAAAAGAAGTTAATTATTCCACCCGGTATCTATACAACGTGTTTTTCTCGACTTATTTATAGATCAAACATTATACACGAAAATAGGTGACGCATATTGGCAGCCATTGTTGAGTTGGTTACTGATGAAATATGGGTCAAGGTGAGAGATTCATAAAGAAAATCGAAACAAACCAATTTAATTATTTTGTAGAATATCTGAGGAAACTTCTTAGACATAAAAAATTAATTTGGCGTTTTTTCATTTTGATGAAATTCGATGATGAATCCTTATATGCACGAAAATAGGTTACACCAATGCAACTTTCTATAGACGAACCAATTCATTTCCAAATATAAAATAATATAAAACTGTGAATAATATTTGATTTCAGAGAGAAAAAATTTACAACATCAAAGCATACAAGAATCTACAAATTGAAAATTGACATTACCCATTATTTCTATTCTCAAACCAAAATCTATCTCCATCTCGAATACGTTCAAATTGCTCTATTGTTATAGCCTTAAATAATGGACCTAACCCATCATCAGTTGTTTCCAATAATCCTCCAGTAAAAATATCCAGATTATCTGGTGCTGTATCATTATCATATAACTCTCTTAATTTCTCCAGAATCTACAATATATGTATATTTATAAACAATATTCTAGGTTAGGGGAGTTTTGTCTATTTCAATTTATTTGCAACTGTCAAGAGATCTGTAATGTTCACAGCTTATAGCGTACTGCATCTGATTGAATTGCCCCATTCTGGCAATTTTCATGTCAGCACCCTTGACCAGCATTATTGGCATGCAGAAATCTGTAGTTTCAGATATAATTCAGAGAAATATTCACTACTCCAATTTCGTAACCAACTTTGAAATGACCATATGAGTGACTTCAAAGTTGGTGTTAATACCAAGTGTAGTCCTGTGTTTACTTTATATAGTGTTCAATACAATTTACAACCATTCTTCCCCATTTCTATGTTGGTGTTAATACCAACACTGACACCAACACCCAGGTAGGTAGATGACAAGTTAACGTTCGCTTCCAGCGGATGCTGATATTGCAAACTAGGTAGTTGTTGGTAGTCGTAGTAGTTGGTAGTTGGATTGGATCAAATTGGATGATTCGGTGTTGTTGGTTTGGTTGTTGATTCTTCGTTAGATCTGGTCGGGTCGAATGACATGCCGGTGAAACTCGGTCCTGGATGGTGTGGCGTGAGTTACTCGGTCTCCTTCATTCTTCCAAACTCGTTCTGATCATGGTATTTCTTGTTGATTGGTAGTCGAATGGTAGTCGTTGGTTTGGTTTGGTCACCAACACCCATTTCCACAACCACTTTTAAATCAATCAGCTGAATGTGTGTTAACACCTGGTGTTTGTATAACACCATTTCAATGTTGGTGTCAGGTGTCAAAACATGGAATGGAGCTAATCTGCAGTTAGTGTTTGTTCTCATGATATTTAAGGGTGTTTCTAATGACCTTAACACTCAATCCCAAGGGATAAAGACTCATTGGCAAAAGCTGACATGGCGTTTGGGGCTCTTGATATACCAACACTGACACCTAACACCAACAACAACTTGGAAACCACCTGATAGGCTTTTGTCAGATAACTGTAGAAATACCACAAAGAGAATTCATCTAGAGTTAGTGGGTTGACATTGAAATATACTAAGCTTTAATTTGTTTTTCTTACCTCTGTTAGATCTGGGTTAATATCAGACCAATTTCCTAATCTGTTTAAACCATAAGTTTGTCTGATTTCATTATAACCAGGTAATCCATGATCCCGACCACGTTGAATATTTATAGCTGCTAAATCACGCTGATTAAAATCTAGTGGGCCAAATACATTACCTAAAATGAATTCAATAAATTCAGTCCTCTTTGAACAAAGTTAGAAATGGCAATATAAACACCAAGATAAACTTAAAAAGGACTTAACCCAATTACAGATGAGGAATTCTGGGGATGCTTCAAAGACAAATTTGAAGGGAGTATAAAAAAGCCGGTATTTGAACATACTATTGATATATATTGCTATTTCAGTGAGTTAATTTGATATGCCAAGAGTGATTATTTAATGTGCTAAGGGAGATAATTTGATGTGCTAAGGGAGATAATTTCATGTGTTCTTGATATTATTAACTGAAATGACTTGTTTTGCAATCAGATAAATTTGGCAACACTCAAAGCATTGAACATGACATACTATATCATAATTTTAAGCCATAACTTATTACCTGTAGATTGAGCGACTACAATAACAACATTCATTAATAGTTTACAATCCTAACAAATTATGAAATAAAATATGGGTGTGTCTTATCTTACCTCTCAAATCAGTAACTATAATATGATCTTCTTTCTCAGATAGAGTATGAATCATCCCCAGAAATACACTATCAATACCAGGTTCCTCTGTTTCAAGGGGTACCTGTAAAATTTGGAACAAGGATGCTTTCAGTATGTTAATTTGTCAGAATTTACTGAATGTTACCCAGTCTTGTGACTCACCTTGTTACCGTCACCAAATATTGATATTTGACTAATTAACAGCAACTGTTACAAATCAAAAGTCAAAATTTATTATATTTTAACTAAGTTGAACTTGAAGGAACGTTTTTACAGTATAATATTATTTCATAAGTAGTCTTATTGACTTGAAGCCAATCAAAAATCAATGTTCTAGGAATATTACAGTCTTGTTTTTTTTTTCAGCTAAATCTGCGAGGTAAAGTATACCTATAATAAAGCAACATATAAATTCATGTGGTCAGTCCATTATGGCCTTTTTGCCAACTCATTTGATCGACATTTTCGGGATTCATGGAGACACGAATAAAGTCTACAGTACCTGAGAATTCCAAAATGATGTGCAAACTCGTATTCCAGTATATGGTACGTTATGACCGGTACCGTTGGTTATTATATTTGAAGTTACCTTACATTGTCCATTGTCGACGATCTTCCTGAAGAAATCATTTATATGTACTTGTACTAATGTATACATACATCGTTTTTTCCAGAAATAAACAACAGAATAAGATAGTCAAATAACAGTCGTCTCAGTAAGGCTAATATTCATGTAAGTTCTAATTTTACATTCATTGAAAGATGACAATCATTTGTTTGTTTGATACAATGACCACAATCAAGTTTTTAGGGGGTATTAAGGTTTGTTTATAGAACTCTATGTTCAAGGGTTTTTAGGATGGGCATCCCTTTCGACCATTTAACATTACTTTACAGTTAAATATTTAATACTATTGGCATGCTCAACATCTACTGACCTTGTAAATATACCCGACGGAACCAAAGTATGACCAAATCTCAAAGCTGCAGCCTGAAATTCTTGTGAGATACCAGGATGTACGTTAGGTTTATAACCTATGTATAAAATAGAAATATAGTTAAGAAAGGTTATCAAAAATAAATTACTAATACGAGTATCAATACTTCCAAGACTTTTTTAGAACAGGGGTTTTCAACCAGGGGATGTTTGTGGGATAATGAGCCGCTTTGTAGTCTAGCATAAAATATTTGGACAGATATAATTCAAGTCGTTCCATTCAGTCAGACTATATTGCAGGGATTGCAGGGAACACCTGAGAGAAAATCACAAAAAGTAAGAATTTAAAGGGGGAGTTAGGTAATGCCATCGATCAAAGATCCCGAAAGAGCTAGATAATAGAAAGAAAAAGGTTGAAAACCCCTGTTTTAGAATATAGATTTATCTAGATCGTACACATCCTACAACACTCTGCAGTTTCTGTATCAGAATCCAAGTTGTTCAAAGATAAGAATGCTTTTAGAATGGATCTTTTACATCATGCGTTTGTATTAAATTGTTTTTTTTTTTACCCGAATAATCTGATATATTTTCTTCAGTCCCATTTTCATAAATACTAATCCATTTGGGCAACCACTCATACATGACTATGTTCTGGAAATACATGTACACATTAACAATAATAAAATATTTTCACTGTTAAAATAGCGCTCAATACATCAATTATTGTAGAGCGATATTGAAGTATCACCACACGTATTTTCAAACAGTTAGTTGTGTGATCAAAGATACATTAATACAAGATTAATCATGTAATATAGGTATTCATTTTTTTCAGTGAAACACAATATCATGCATAATCCAAATACACTTTAGTCTTCATATCATATTTTAAGGTGGGATAAATAAAATAAATCTGGTATTTTACCTGGTGATGTGCTATAACAAATTGTCTAGCTCTATTAAATAACTGTTCATCATTCCAAGTAGGGTGTTGTAATTTTAATTTTCTAGCGACTACATTATGCCATCGGAACCACATCACACCAAATGCCAGCAACATTGGATTTTCATTTCCTCTAGGATTTCCCAAACCTTTAAAATTATAGTATCAACAAATTCAGATCCAGATTTCATTCAAGATTCAAATTTGACATACCATTGCAATGAAAAATTCATTCCAAAAACCAGAATTAATAACGCTAATAGTTTATATTGGTAATATTGCACCACATTATACTGGCGAACAGAAGAAAAGAAACAACAGAGATTAATAGCCTATTTGTATCAATTTTATAAGCTACTTTTCTGTGGGAAACGATCATCTGTTATTAAAGGTTTCTATATATCCAGAAAAGCACTAAGAATTATATCAAATGCTGAAATTGAAATTTTTTTTAGCTGCATATTGTAAAAATCCTATGGATCATTAGTCCACCAAATATATTGTATCCCTTTAATACTTTGATGCTCTGACAGCAATTAAGACGTTATAAGAATTATTCCTTATGTGGCATCTAGCGGTAAAGATCACTTAACGGAACATATACAATTTTATGGTATACTACTAGTTCTAATTGCACTATTTAAAGAGCAACTTACGGTAAAATCTGTTGACAGGTTTGAGTATGTGTTCTCTGGGTGGCGGTGGGTTAGCCATGGGCAACCTGATGTCATTTTGATTAGGAAAACTTAATTTTATATCCTCTTCATTACCCTCAGCCAATAATTCACCATTTTTAAACGATCTGAGAGTATCAGTCCAGGCTTTAGATGTTCCATACATCAATCCACCATCAATATAAGGTGTAATTTCATTAAGCTGAGGTAGAAGAAATATAACAATATTTATCTAATAACAAACCAATATGAATATGAATAATGGTTAATGTATTCTGCAATGTTTCAACATTTCTCATCTTTTGCGGTTCGATGTGCCAATATTGTATAGTTATGAATTCTAATTATTTTAAACATATTATAAAAGCCTCATTTATTATTTTATCATTTATTACAGAATTTCATTATGAATTATAAAATATAAAATATTTATATGAAATTATTATGTTATATAAGAATAATATTATAATATTTTATAAAGATGATGGAATATATATCATATAAAAAAAAAAATGAAATTCCAAGATAAGTGGCCTACAAATTATATAACGAAGTGTGACGGGTGTGAATGAAGGGATGAAACAATCAATGTCAACAGTTTAAAATATGTTGATCGAAACAATGGTACGCCTTTTTTTCACGTCAATTTTTGAATGGTGGATCTCAGCGGGCAGATTTTGTCAGCACCTCAAAGAAATGTAGCCTATCCATGAAATACATTTAGATACAAATACAGATTAAATAAAAGGTAAAAGATTGGTTAAGAGACAGTACACAAGACACTCAAGCATCTATACTTACTTGTTGTCTCGGATTATTAGGGGAGTATCCCGTTCTCTGATCAAATCTGGTCCTTAGTAGAGGCATCTCAATATTGCCTTTTCCTTCTCGATCGTATATAGGATGACCAGTAGGTACCTTAACATTGAAGAATTCTCTTGGACATCCTGGACGTTGGGAATCCATGATTTCTTCCACTACTTGTTGACCTTCAAAGAAGCAAAATGCAATAATCGAATTTATTTTAAAATCTTACACCAGTCAATGGTTTCAATGGTCATTTGGTTGAGAGAATCTGCTCTTTATTTACCTTTTTCGACATCAATCTGTCTGTAAAAAAACTTACCAAAGAAAACAAGAAGAGAGTTCCTCCCTCTAGCAGATCCATTTCCAGGTTCTCCAAAATGTGCAGTATCACTGACTGTAAATGGATTTGGACGGTCAGTACCAGATGGTTCAAATACAGAATCACTGTAATCAGGTCGTGACGGACGTAAAAGTTGGCCATCTAAATAAAACAGATAGACAAATTGACCATATTATCATGTTTAATTTATTATATATATTTGAATAAATTAGTTAAAGGAGAAAAGGTTGCCACTTTGATATTATACAATATTCCAATGAGATACCACTGAATCAAGAATGTTATTTGCGGTTGACAAAATATGAAGAAATTTAACATGAACCAATAGTTATCTAAGGTGATTCGGGATGTTATACAAAAACAAAAACACACTTTTTATCAAATGGCTAAAATTCTATTAATTGAAAAATTATTCATTAAGTTTTCCCAATCTCGTGACATTTTGATTGACAGCAAGCGTTAGTTAGCTCGTAGACCTTTGCTTGAAAATTTGAATGGTGCATTGCTAACATGGTCCCCGATACACATTTACATTTTTGAGTACCTCTTTACAACCCCTTTAATATAAGTCAAATATTCGTGGTCGTGGAAATATTTCCTTAGTCTCCCAAGCTAGGATATCTGTTGACTAGATTACACAATGGAATTTTGGGATTAAAAAAATAAAAAAGATCTAATATGGTCCAATAGTTATCATAATGATGATGCAGGATTTTATGCAGAACATATTATTTCAAGTCTGAGTAATCCTATATACATCCTCACATACAGGTACGTAATACCTCGACATTGTTAAAAGGATTGTAAAGAGGTTTTCTAAGTTTTGTATGAGCATCAATTTGCACCATTCCAATTTGCAATAATACGTCTGTGGCTCCTGCAATTCCACAAAACGTAAGCATTTTATGACGTCGCTAATCGCAAAATAAGCTTGTAGCACCCAAAGCCCTTGCGATAAATGACGTCATTAGACGCTTTCTATTCTTTGAATTGCAGAACCACAGACGTCTGGTTGTAAATTGGAATGCTGCAAATTGATGCTATCATACAAAACTTAGAAAACCTCTTTACAATCCCTTTAAGATGACCTTTTATTATTATTATTTTTACATTTAGATATATACATTACCTATAGCTCCCCAATCAGGATGTAATAGATTGTTATAATAACCATCTTGGGGGGTTAATTCAAACAGCGGTGCTTCATCTTCATCTTGACCTGAAAAACAATATTTATGACATAAGAGTCAGTCATTTGTTATACTCAAATCTGAATCTGCATACATATTGTGCAAAATTTATAACGTTACCAGCCGCAAATTAAGTTACTTATAGGCTCATATTCGTAATAGTGAGCTTATGCCAATAACCTTATGTCCAAAACTGACTGCTTTGATTATTTTGATATAGAATCACAATAGCAATAGAGGATTCAAACAGTTACAGGATAACACATCAAAATCATGTATGATGCAAAACTCTTCTGATGAAATATGTGCGGTTGGTCAGCGAGAAAGTCGCATAATAATTAGCTGCCGCTTTTGATCCTGTGTTCAATGTTTTCCTTGGTCAATGATTCACCGATCTGAAAGGACTGACTTGGAAAAGACGCGTTGTAGCAGTGGCAACGAGTTTGGTAGTTAAGTTGGATAAATTCGACCTACGTTTCTATCTATATCCTGTTCAACAAATTTGGAAAATAGACTTAGTGCCATAGAATTTTTTATGATTTGATATTAAATTGTGTTGTCTCAATCATTCGATATATCCTACCATAGGGTTGTGATATACTTCCACTTTTTTATCAACTGAGTCAAACAAAGATAAATGCAGTCTACTTGCTTACAACCATCAATGTGTGGGATCTTCAGGAAAGTGACAATTAAAGTCCGGTGTTTAATATAATGTATTAACAACAACACGAAGGTGTCCCCATCGCAGACTACAATAAACGAACCAAAGCCACGCTTTCGACACTAGCTAGCATCCCGTCATACAGTCAACGACGTGGCATGAGGTTGTAACCATCTTTTCCCCTACATTCCAGCCAGTCTTGTGTAAGCCCTAGTACACACAATGTAAGGAGGTCAAGTCGTAAAGCGATTGACATTCTGCGAGAAACTGGATTTAAAATGACCGTTAGCAACTGTCGGTGTGAAAATATAGACTATTGACAACAGCTGCAATTTATCAAGGATGGTCGGACGCTATTCGAAATCAATTGGTCGTGTTAGGTCTAAATCTGCTCACATTCAACTAAATGCCTTGGTCGACAAATTTCAATCAGCCTTTATGAAATGCTATAAATCGCCAGTCGTGTGGATCCTAGCATAAGGCGCATGCCGTAAAGCTGTTAAACAATTCAAATTGTTTAAATTAGATCAGATAAAATTTCTTCCGCAATTACTAATCATCAGGGGACTGATAACAAAGAGAAGGTAAAATGTCTCCATGCACAATGTAAAATCTTTTTGCATATGAAAACAAGAACTCTCTTTCTTATTACAAATTGTTTTCTATATTTAAAGTTAATCATGAGACGCGTGGAATGCAAACACCATATATGTCGATAATATGGTCATTTAATAATATCATTTTAATAATGTCATAGGTCCTACTCGTATTACAATTACAAGTATTCTTATAATATTAATGATCGTGACTTCCTTGTTAGTTAAAGTTATGCACCGTTTTATACCTTATATCTTTCATTGAATAACAATAATCAATACCAATAATGAATAAATCCTCCAATGACTTATTAATGCATAGATAATATGCATGTTCTAAATGTTCCAATTTAAATACGAATATGAATATGTAAGCTAATAATATATTACATATTGTGTTTTGTTTACGCCCCGGCGGAACACTTTGTGAAAAGAAATCAAGCCCGGTTGACAATTAACATATCGAGTTTGACAGACCTCGCATAGAATGAGCAATCACTATATGCAATTAAATATACGCATTTTATCACGTATAATGAATTTACCGGACCTTTGAGTAATTTAATCTCAATACAGAAAGTTGTATATCTATTTGCATATCATATCATCTAGTGCTCAATTCCAGTGGGGTTTCTACGGGTGACCAGGAGGAGGGGGTGGTGGTGGTGGGTTTAGGGGGGGGGGGGGGGGGGGGGGTCATAGTGAGAATACCCCCACACGTGGATTACTTTCCCACGCCCTTACCTAATGTTTCCCTAAACGCCACTGCTCAAATCAAGACTATAGAACGTAATCATGTTAGGTACAATCTATGCCCGATAGCTTGATAACATGTAGACTGATGATAAACATACGCTCTGAACTGAAGAGCTTATGATTTGCAATCTACATCTTAACCTTGACAAACGTTTTATTTCACTGGGCATTCCCGTTTTTTTGTGTTTTTTTTTGTTTTTGGTTTTTGTTTAAATTTTTGAAATCGCTTAGATTTAATGGAATTTGTATTAATTACGGACGTCTGATTTGAAATTGAAATGTTGTAAATTGATGTTATCAAGTTCCCCGATACACTTGTACAACAACGTTAATTTATATTCTTTAAGTATACACATTTAATCCGCCCACTCTTTGACGACCTATGTAGTGAATGCATCAAAAGAAAAGCAATATCGGTAACATTCAATTTATAAGAATCACCAGATTTATCTAAATTAGTTCCAATTTTTAAGGAGTTATATAGATTGGAGGTCACTATCAGGTAAAAATAATGGTAAGATAAATAATCTCCGTGGTCAGACCGTCGAGAACAGCCAAAAACGTCAAGCAACTTCTGACAGTAGAAGAATAGTGACATTGTTCCAGGCATTGTTAGTCTGAAATGAAACACTGTAAATCATGTGATTTTGAAGGCCAAACGATCAGGTCAAATGGCTACATGTGAATTATTCAGCCACAAAACATGTTCATATTTACCTAACTAACGCAATAGAATATTTTTCAGCGAAATGACCGTTTTTGTAACTATTACATACTTATGACACTAAAGTTTCTACTCCTCATGTAAAAATGGTACAGCTAATAACAATCATGTCACAGCTAGTAAGTAGATCACTAAGTTGGTATGTGGGTAATCACACCCATCATTGATGTTAACGATATTTCAAGCCTAGTAGTTGTAGTTGAATATACATATAAAACAAAGTTAAACAAATGTCTTGTCCCTCGGGCGAGGTAGAAGTGTTACAAACTCAAAAATTAATCTTGGTTATTACGTTGTGAGAAATGGAGACGAAATGTCACACATTGATAACATCGTTACGAGTCACACTTTAAGCCTATATGCATTGTACAAACTTTATTTATCTCTTACTCTTGCAAATGTTCCCCCTCTTTTAATATCCTCAAGAGGTGACGAGGTCGAAGTTTTCCAAACCCTATCGTAAACTAATGGTTATTGCTTTGTGCCACTAAAATTCACAACATCCTTACAAGTCTGTTTATACATATTATGCAAATATTCAAATTTATATATCATACTTACCCCCGTATAGTCTAAAGCAGACCAAGAACAACAAAATGATTCCAATTCCAAGCCTTTTCATGATTACTTTCACGAATTTAGCCTCTCATTTGAACATTGAACACTGTCAACTAAATGCTCTCAAATGAAACAGATAATTGTTATAGGGGTTAAACCAGGAAGGAAATCAGAACCGGACGTTTTGTAAGATATTTCATATGTTTAAACATGTGTATTGTGAATATGTATTTATAGATATAGATATCAATAGGGAAGATATATTATAATAGCACAAGATCTCTGCTACTCAAGTTTTCAAAAAAGCTATTTAGCTATCAAAAAGGAAGTGAATCAGTTTTAAGCCCATTATATGTATGTCTTTGTGAATTTTACACTAAAAAAGCACTAAAAATATTCATCAACTTAAGTCATCAGTGTTATTTTTCTTTGGGAATACTCAATCTTCTCTACATTCATTCCATGTAGATATAAATAGAGCATAATTGCACCACATCCCTATCAAATGTATAATAACATTCAAATGCGTGTTATGTGGGTAGAATATACATCGCGGTAAATTTAATATTCTCAATTTATAAAATCGATAAAAAACAGGCACCGGTACACGAGGTTAATGGATTGTGTACCTCGTTTAACCCCGACTCTGCCCGATACATTCCCACTAAATTTCACTGGTGACTGTTTCGGTCCCATGAGGTAAACAATCCGATCTCCTTCTTTCATTTTCCTGTCTTATCACGATCCGAATATTTGGATATAGAAAGGTGGTATTAAAGGAAATTAAAATATTTCGCATTCCGTATAGAGACCTTAATAAACATCATTAAATCATCAATATGTCTGTGGAGATGTAAATTATAATAATAAATCCACGGAGTTTTAATAATATTAAACCTCCTTGAATAAATCCGATTGTTAAAGGATACGATTATCTAAGCTGCTGCTGTAATACATTCCGAACTTGAAAACTTCTGCATATCACCAAAACGTAGGCTATTAGACAGACGACACTTCCAGGACGTTACATTTCTCAAGTGCAGATTGTCAGATATTAAAGATACCATGACGTCATGAGTCTTAGCTAAATCTATCATACTGGCCTGAAAGTGGAAGTGAACATAGAATCTTAATAGAACTGAAATTGAGATCTTTAATAGTTTGATATTAAAAGATATATTTGAGCGTAATGGTTAATATCAAAGAGATTCAAAGATATTTCCTAGCTTTATTTGTATGAATATAGGACTACGCCTAAATATATACATGTAATATTCTTATTTTGAAAAGAGATCCTGAAAAGCATGATCGGAGTTTGCGATAGTGACTTCATAATCTGTAAAGACTCTTCTTATCAAAAAAACGATTTTGACGATTTAGTGATAGAATTTGTTATTTTCCTTCTTAATTAGGTAGGCTATGTTGGGTTCATATTAATAAAATTATTATCTTTAGATATTATCTAAAATAGTATACAGTATACATTTACTGACTATTTGATCATTGAAAGTACCCTTGAAGAAACGGATGTCATATCTGACTATCTCGCAAATCAGTACTTCCTGTTTGTTACTCATGATGACATAGATCATTCAAATTTTAAAGCGACAGAAATTTCTATGTATTTTGAATTGTATGAAGAGAATAAATGCTTTAAAAGAGTTTTCTATGGTTTTAATATTACGAACACACCAAAGAATCTTCGCCATTTTCCATATTATTTAGTCTGTCAATGATGCAGATAGGATTAAAGTTGTTTTTCGCAGTGACAACAAATCGCAGTTCTATATGTTACAGTCTGAAAGGTATGGCATCCAGTTATTGCAAATTGCCAGACCCGATAAGACACAATTAACACAAACACGCAAATATGGACATAGACCTAGAGATATGTGTCCCTTAATTGTTGAACCCTTTTAAGACACAACATCAAAACTAGTTAAACTGGTTTTTAACAGTGAGTACACTGTTTTTACAACCCTTTGAAAATAAATTTAGGTTGATCAAGTAGATATACATACAGTAGTACATAGCATATTATATTAGAAATAGTTTCACGTATAATTTATCTCTACTTCTATTAGGACAATTTTAAACGCTCTATAATCTACAATTTGAATAATTTTTACGAGGTTTTGCAAGTGTAGGCCTATATTCAATGAAAATTAACATTAAAATCGAGAGCATTTTCCGGCGATCATCAGATCAACCGACATGCAAACCTTGAATGAATATTGAACTCAAATGTAAATGTAATACATAAAATATATATGTAAATATATTTCTTATTTTATGTTGGTTTTGCTTTCAATGTACATCAAATGAGGCTGTTGTCATTTCTCTTTTTCGTAAACAAATTTGTAAATATCTACAGTCGAGACAAACTTACTTAAGCTTTATGCGATGTGTATATATGTTTGTATTGTTTTGAAATTAAATACTGCTTAACCTAAATACAAATGCGTACATGAACTTTCTACTACGATAATCAAGGTAGTCGAAGGTATTTGCCAACATAAAATAGGAATGCTTTCTTATAATACACTTTGTATGTCAATGCTCATGAATATATTCGTTTCAATAATAAACAGCCAGATCACTTCTATTTGCATACAGTACACTATGGATTAAATCTATATTGTTGAAGTTAAATGTATATATATGTTAATATTTCATTGAACGCAAACGTTGCACATTAAAGAGACTGTAAAGAGGTTTTCTGATTTGTTTTATGTGCATCGGCGACGCTGAGAGCATCAATTTACAACATTGCCATTTTCAATCAGACGCGAGTTGTTTGATGACGTCACTAATTGCAAAATATGCTGTATCATAGTAGTGGCGGCGCCAGCCCCCTGAGACGGGGGGTACAAATAGGAGGCAAACGGGTTCAAAGTGGGACAAATGTCGAGGCTGAATTCAAATTCTGTGGAAATGTCTTGTCGCAAGCCTCTAATGGAGCGTCTGAGATAGTTCTCTCAAGAACATTTTCGAAAAATTGAATTCATTGCATTCTGACATACATTTTTTAATTTGTCGGAAGTAACCTTGTAAATCAATATGCTAAGAAAAGGAGAAGAAAAAAAATTGGGCTACTCTCTTAAAAATTTTAGAGTTGGTCAATATTTTTTTGTATTAGTGTAACGTCGTTGATAGGCACCCCATTTGTGAATTTGGCACTCCTTTTAAGACGGAAGTCACGTGAGCAAGCTCAGTCTTTCACTTGCCGCCGTCCTGAATAAAGGTTGCTATTATCAACATTTGTATTTCTCTTCATGCAGGTATTTTTAATGTGTCATTTTATTATTTTCATTGCATTATATAGTTTCGAACATTGTCTAACGTTGTATATATATCATTTTATTGTGTCGTTAAGATAGTTTATGTTTTTGACAATTTAGTTATTTTTCACCGAAAATGTGGTCGAGTGCCACGCTTGCTCATCAATTTGTCAAAGTGCTTATTTTTGGACATCATTATCATTCATTGATTTATATTGTTTTAATGAGTAGGAAACTTCATAAGTATTTATTTGCTATCAGCACAGTCATAGAATTAAGATTATATGCATAGTTAAAATTTAAGCGGTAGTCGAAAAGTTGCAAATGTAGATGACGTCACTTTTGACCTTCAACCTCTACGTCACCGGAAGTTCAACTATCACATGACTTTGTTTACTTTAGAAATTCGTCTGCATAAATGTATAAGCCCATAAGTTGAGACTTTTGCTTATGATTTGTTTGATTATTATTTTATTTTATTGTTCACTCTGTCATACCTCTTGACATAGACATTGTTGTAATTGTTGTTACTGTAAGATTGAGCAAGCTCAGTCTTTCACTTGCCGCCGTCCTGAATAAAGGTTGCTATTATCAACATTTGTATTTCTCTTCCTGCAGGTTGCCTGAGCCAACAACCTGTGGTAAACCCCGTTACATTAGTATTACATTAGTATGATCGTAGGTGTGTGTGTGTGAGCCGAAACTCTCCATTACGATATTTGATTAAATGTCATTACCGGGTATGCATTATCCACATAAATTCAACTTGCTTTAATACTTTATTACGACGTATCCAATTTAACCTGAGTTTTCTTTATGTTTTTGTAACAAGATATTTCTTTTACAATTATCACGAACAAATTCAGCCTTTTTTTTTGTTGTTGTATTATTCATCACATTGATTGGTACAAAAAAATATCTGAATGGGTTAATGGTCCACAATGTGTAACAATACGTTTTGAAATTGCGACTAAAATGTGATTTTTACAATTCAACTCTTTAATCTGAACAATGTTCATCATTCATTTCTCTTTCGACTATATTATCACACTGTTTACCAAACATAGACATTGTAAATCATGTTTTATTTCTGATTGGATCAAAATTCAAACAAACTATTTAGTATTTCAAACCAGAATATAGAAGAATCAGCATGTGAATCAAACAAGCTTTTTGAACACTAATCACCAATAGTACAGGTGTGCTATGACTGAACACTGTTCACCCATTTTATTGTTTCAGCAGATTCGAAACTTTATCTTAAACTCTACTGTATGAATATATTGAGGTAGGCTTATTGATCTTTTTTTTAATTTCAAATCAAACATAATATTTTAATTTTCGAAAATAGCTGTATTTCAGTTGAGCAATATATCTCTTATACAATTTATACGATTTGGACCTATTCATTTGACATTCTTTAATAATCAAATGATGTATGATATGGTCATATTATGCAGGGAAGTTGGGTGACGTATTTTATATTTAAGTGCACTATCCAAATATTTTTTTCCAAGTCAACGAATATGGTAATTGTAAGTTTTCTCTTATTCTTATTATTTGAGGCATTATTTTCTTTTTCAGTAAAGGCTATCTTGATGTGATACCTGGCGTGATAAAATCACGTTATTGCATGGTCCAAACCTCGTCTTGAACTAGAACAATACCATACGCAACCAAACGAAATTTTACTTTCTTGAATCATTCCGTATAGAACATAGCCAATTTAAAGTTCGAATTCAGACAATTATTATGATAACTAGTAAATGTTGGCCATGGATTCTCATCTCAGACTACATCAAAGTATTTAGTGAACATGCAAAGCTAATCAGGTGTAGAACAGTGAGACATAAAACGTTGTGTTTGATGGATATGTCTTATTCCGGTGCTGTTACTAGAGAAATTTTTTGGAATAGTGGAAAATGAAGCTTTTAATTTCCCAAAACATATTCAAAGAGCAGAATATTTCTACTTTTGATGTTAGATTTAGAAATAAAAAAAGCATATTTTTATTTCCAGTGATTCAAAACTGTGATCACCACTTGTCATCTACCAACCAACTGTTTCTAACTCGAATATATTGGACTGTATATAACAGTCAGGTAAGATTTGAATTTTACTATCTTCAATTCTACATTAAACATATCCCAAACCCAATTCATTATACATATCACAAACCCAATACATTATACATATCACAAACCCAATACATTATACATATCACAAACCCAATACATTATACATATCACAAACCCAATACATTATACATATCCCACACCCAATACATTATACATATCACAAACCCAATACATTATACATATCACAAACCCAATACATTATACATATCACAAACCCAATACATTATACATATCACAAACCCAATACATTATACATATCACATACCCAATACATTATACATATCACAAACCCAATACATTATACATATCACAAACCCAATACATTATACATATCACAAACCCAATACATTATACATATCCCAAAACAATACAATTATACATATCCCACACCCAATACATTATACATATCACATACCCAATACATTATACATATCCCAAAACAATACAATTATACATATCCCACACCCAATACATTATACATATCCCAAAACAATACAATTATACATATCCCATACCCAATACATTATACATATCCCAAAACAATACAATTATACATATCCCACACCCAATACATTATACATATCACATACCCAATACATTATACATATCACATACCCAATACATTATACATATCACAAACCCAATACATTATACATATCCCACACCCAATACATTATACTTATCACAAACCCAATACATTATACATATCACAAACCCAATACATTATACATATCACAAACCCAATACATTATACATATCCCAAAACAATACAATTATACATATCCCACACCCAATACATTATACATATCACATACCCAATACATTATACATATCCCAAAACAATACAATTATACATATCCCACACCCAATACATTATACATATCACATACCCAATACATTATACATATCCCAAAACAATACAATTATACATATCCCACACCCAATATATTATACATATCATATAGCAACAACAACATATCATTT